CCATCTGAGTCGTCCGACGCTTCCGGGTTGTTCATCAGCTCAGTGAGAGGGAGCCTTTTTCCACAGGCGCTAAGTATGGTTTAGGGTTTAGGGCTCTCAGCACCAACAGTGTAGACCTGTCTGCACGAAAACAGGGGCGCTCAGGATCAGAGTAGGGGCTTGGGATATATTCAACTATAATCAGAGTCGGGACAAGATACTTTCGGCTGAAGCCTAAACCCTAAATACATGACACCATGTTCGTGCTTGGGCCCTGTGGATTTCTGTTGGAGGAGTCTCTTATGACTCCGTGGTTCTTAGTAGGGAGTCAGGGAAGGGGTTTGGGCTTGGGTTTAGGTTTTTAAGGGGCTACAGTAAGGGACCTTAAAACACTACCTTGGGGATGCATCGCGTCATTCCCTGCTCAGAACCGGCAAGCGACGTTGTTTTCAGGTTCCGGCCTGAAACCTTGGGGATTAAGGCCAAACAGTGCGGGATTTCTTATAGACCACTTAAGGATTGAAGCTATTGGGGTTCCAACTTTTGGACTTCTATACTGTATGGGTCCAAAGATGTCAGGGTGCAAATCCACCATCTTGCGTCGTCTTGGGCTCTAAATCCTCCCCAACAATGATCCTGTGCTAGAAGTTCGGAAACTAGAAACCTTACATCCCTATACCCCAACCCCGGAATCCCTAAACTATAAACGCTAAACCCTCAACATTCATCCTAGAACTTAAGAAACCCTACACCCTGAAAGCCGGAGCTTCTTAGACCTCCAGCTCCCGGGCCGCACGTAGCTTCAGCGGCTACGGTCTCAGGGGTGGTGGTGGTCTCAGAATCCTAAGTTGGTTTAGGGTTTCGGGGTTTAACGGTTCAGGGTAAGGGTCCCTATACCTGAACTCTAAACGCAACTCGAAAAGATTCAACTCTAAACCCTGAACGCTTACGAATTTAAATCGGAACTCTAATCTTTCAAGCCTAACATATATATATATATATATACATATTGTATATATATATATATATATATACATATACATATATATATATATATATATATATATATAAATGTATTATGGTACATACTTCGCACCTAGTGTGCCTGCACAGGAACCCTCTGAACGTGGTTTCTGGGGCCCGCACCCTCCAGCCTCCTCCGAAAAGATTCCAGGCTTAGGGGTGTAGGGTTTAGAAGCTTCCAGCTTAAGGGCTTAAGAAGGGTTCAAAAAGGGGTGAATATGGGTTGATTATGGGTTCAAGAAGGGTTCAATTTAGGTTTGACAAGCCAAGAAGGGGGGGTAACTAGGCATTTATATCGGCTCAAGAAAAGTTAAATATGGCTTCATACGGGTGACCAGGTTGAAACAGTGCCAAATAAGGGTCTTCAGAGAGCTCATAGCAGTGTATGTAGCTTAGAGCATATAGGCTTTTCGCGACGCGCGGCTTACGTGGGTTCGTGGGGTTCAGGGTTTAGGGATCAGTGGCTTCTGGGAGTTGGTACGGTAAGATTTACCCACTACGGTTTGGGCTATAGAGGTTGGTAGGGTCAGGGGTTCACGTAATGGCGGACAAGGTTTTTTGATGGTGCTTTTTGTGGTTTGTGGCATGATGTGGGGGGGGGGGGGGCAAGCGTCGGGTTCAGGATTGAGGATTTACGGGTTGAGGGCTTGTGTTTTCCAGGAGCTCACCCTAAACCCTAAACCCTGAACCTCCACGTTCGGGGCTTTCAGGTTTGCAGAGGATCTGAAGCCCCTACCCCTAGGCCCCAACGTAGTTCCTTTTTGGGGTTCATATATAGAATCCTATAAGGTACTCCCAAAAAGGAACTACTTTGGGGCCTATGGGTAGAGCCTCTCGGAGCTGGTAGTACTTACGGAATGCGGGAGTTGAGCTGGGATTCGAGGCTTTCGGGCGTGGGGGGCCTATGCATTCTATACAGCACTACAGGGGCCTCAATGATCCTATATCGATGCAATAAGGAGCCCTGGTGAACAGTTATGCAAATAAGTCAGGCTTCTACATTGCTATGAAGGTCTGAACACTTCTGGTGTTTAGGGTTTACATTTAAGGCCCAAGGTTTGAACACTTCTAATGTTTAGGTTTTAAAATTAGAATCCATGGTTTGAATACTTCTAGGGTTTAGGTTTAAAGTTTAAAGTCCAAGGGTTCAGGGATGGGGGCGTTGAAGTCCAAGGGGTTTTCAGCGGTGGGAGCACATTTGGTTTATGGGTTTACCCAAAGGCCCCAAAGTAGTTCCTTTTGGGGGTTCATATATAGAATCCAATAGGGTAATCCCAAACAGGAACTACTATGGGTACTCTGAGTAGGGCTTCAGAGTTTTGGCTTTTAAGCCTTCGTTGTAGGGATCCGAGGATGAGGCTTTGGGTCTTCAGTGACAGGCGGAAGGCTGAGGCATACTTGCAGTAGAGCCCTGGAAGGGACATGGGCAGGATGGGGGATTCCAGTGCAATGTTCATTCTGCCAGCTCCTAGGTTCAGGCTTTATAAGGGAGGTTCCGAAAAATGGGGGACCCAAATATACTACCAGGATCCATACTATAAGGACCCCCAAATAATGTACCCCTAATATCGGAAACTCCCATAAGGGTCATAAGGATAATTCGGGTCTGTCGTGTGATTGCAAGCTTTTCCAGGGATAGTTATGATGCAACTGCTCGGGCCGGGTGTTGAGATAATCTTATACAATCCTAAACTAAACCTACGCCCTAAACCTATGCGAAACCTCCAAGAGGAACGTCACCCCCGCAACCCACTTCAACATGTTTTCGTCAGATCTCAGAGCAGCGACAGGCACCACCACAGAGCTTAAAATGATAAGAGGTTTACAGAACATGACGGGACTGAATATTGACTAAGATAGCGGCCTTGCATCATAACCTGAAACGAAGATCCTACAGCTGTGGGCTTTTTCTCGTTCAGTTTATGATAGATCGCTAGCGTAACCAAATCCGATGCAAACCAGGATAACATGCCATCTCACCCCGAAACCCAACACCGGTCAACACCCTAAACCTTTCTGACAGGAGCTGCTACTGCTTATATGTGCGCTGTGGTCGCAGCGAAACTCAGCGACTTCAACGTTAGGAGTTTTGGGGTGCTGAAAGGATAGCGGGACCTATAGAAAGGGTGTTGGATAGTATAGTGTTATGGGGGATACTGCCCCCGATCATAGTAGAAATAAATTCTACTAGAGAAACCCAACCTTCGACTAATTATACAAGTACGTAGGATCCTGCGGGTTAAGTAGGGCGTATAAGATGTGCCAAGTAGGGCAGCTATTCAATATTGTCGAAGCTTCATGTGCTTGCATCCGTCTGCCCAAAATATGGAGCACCAGATACATACGGATAGACAGATGAGTAGATGGGGTAGATAGGTAGATAGATAGATGGGTCACAATCAATGTTGTCGGACCTAACTTACTTACCCAATAAGCCACAGAAATGAAAGGTTAAACTTTCCGATTCCTGCTGAACTGTAAGAACCCAAAAAGTTTAAAGGTAGGGTATTGGGGATCTCAGCTACTGCTAAAACCTAGACTGCATGGAAGCCCTCCCTTGCGGGGTGACACAGGCATCCACAGTGCTTGCAGCTGGAGAGCTCGGGAAGACGACATCTCGGTTTAGGGGGTTTAGGGGGTTTAGGGGCTTGAGGCTTATGGGGTCAGGGTTCAGGGCTTAAGGTTTAAGGGTTCGGGGTTTAGGATGGTTTAGGGCTTAAGAAGTTTGGGGTTGAGGAGTTTGGGTGTTGGGCGGTTCGGAATCTGCAGGCCTATCCCCAAACCTGCTAGCTGTTTCTGTGTGAAAGGCTTAGGATTTTTCAAGGGCTTAGGATTTAGGGTTAGAGTGGTAGCCCGAGGGTGATGTTTTTCCCGTTTTCAGAGCCGACTAGCCCAACCCGGTTCTACGCCGCAAGTTTCTAGGACGAACCACAGCTGCGGCTCTTTCGAGTTTTGGCTTAGGCATTCGGCTGCCTGATGCCGATACCCTAGACAGTAGCATGCCCCCCGAAACATCAAATAGGGAATCTAACACTTGGAATAGGGTTTCGGGCTTTCGGAGATACATGAACCCGAAGGCCTGCTGGTTTTCGTCATTCGGGGGTCTGTATTACCTACATCTCGAAGAGCACTGCGCATGCATTAAAAGGAAGGGTGGGCACTTTGCAGTCGCAGAGGCACCCTTGGGCAATGCTGGCTTCCCTTGCCGACGCACATTTCTACAAGACCCCTCGAGTTATACTTAAGCCACTTAGGCCTCGAAGGGTGTCATGTAAGAGAAAGCAGTTTAAGTTGCCACGACAGAAATCTATCGAAGATATCTCATATCCTTAACTTCCTAAACCAAAAACAATAAAACAACGGTTCAGATCCTGTGGAGAAGTTAGCGGCTTGATTCCGTGATGCTTAGGCCCGAAACGCAACATCTCCTTTCTATTGGGACTGCCTGTCATGACTTCATTGATTCATAAAAACAATACAATATACGCCTCCAGAATCTCAGTTTTAGGTTATCTAGGGTTGCATGCACTCCGGGAAGCCAGGCGTCGGCAGGCTGTGTGGTCAGCAGTTGCCACAAGAATGCTCTAGCTGTGGATCGCTCTTTCAACGGGGAAGGTTGCGTGCTTCGGCTTACAGGGCTTATAGGGTCTAGGGTTTATCTTTGGGGCTCGTAAGGGTGTAGTGTCCAAGGCTTTCGAATCAGGGGTATTACATTATTGGTGAGGAGTTCCGTCGGGTTCCTTATGACTCACTTGTAATTTCACTATGAAGGACCCAAAACACCCTGTTCCAATTATGCAGTCCCCAACAGTAACGGGAACCTCGAAAATCCCGTGACAAGTTCCCAAGGTGTCGGGAGACTTGGGAGTTGGGTTTTGGGTTGTCAGGTTTCTGTAGGGGCTTCAAGGTTATTTAATTAGGTTGTTGACGGCTTTGGGGGTGTTTGCGGTTTTTACTATTTAGGGTCTTTGGCAATTATCCAAGCTTCCATGTCACTGTCACTTGTGGAAGGAGCCATCCATGCACCGGCTTTGAGCAAGCCCTTCTTCCAGAGTGTGCTTCACAAAATACCTCAGATGCTGCGCAATACCTGCTCAACAAGCCTGAAACGCATCAAGGGCACTCTAAACCCTAAACCCTCCTGAATCCTAGAGCAACTATAGACTCCCTCATCACCCCACAACAACCCTATGTCCCAAATCCTAACGGTGACGGGTCGGGTGCTAAGCGCGTATCCCCCAAACACAAGAACTGGGAGGTTCATGGGTTGCCTTGGCAAAACTTCAACACCTTCAATGCCCAACCAAGGCCTGGAATTTGGGTTTAGGCTTCCGGAGTTTAGGGTATGGGGTTTAAGGATTAAGTGTGTGTGTGTGTGTGGGTCGCACAACGGAAATTCATACTATAATGTAGAATGACATCCTACATCATATGTCTACATTGTAGAAATCGTGCCCCCGACACAAGGAGGGCGGTACTCAGGCCTGCCCTCAATCAGGGGCCCCTTTTGTCGGGATCCCCAAATTCAGGGCCTATATGAAAGGCTTACTAGTTACTGGGGGTAGGCTAAATTCATGAGGGCTTGACGCTTGTAGGGCTACCAGGGGCTCACAAAAAACCTGGCGATTGTAGGCTCAAAAACAACTTGCGAGCAATAGGGATTGGTTCTTGAGGGTAGTGTTGGTGGTTTCCAAAATTCCGAATCTGGTGCCAGGTGGGAACCGAAGAAAACTGAACCCTGAAACCGGATGAGCAAGGGTGACACCTGAACGCTCAAAACCTCAACCCGCACGCCCCAGGCACACAGAAGATCGTAATACCATGTTACGGATAAGGGCTAGGACTGTTTCTGCCAAGATGCTTTCTCAGAATCATCAGCCGCCCGCTGAACTCGCACACTCCAAACTCCATCACCAGTGGGGCAGTGGTCGAGACTGGCTTGACCTCGGCTGAAACACCATAAACGGCTACTCAAAATGGTTAGTATCAGGTTCTGTGATATATAGAAGCCTCATATTAGAATAGGGTTTCGGTATACATTAACTATGGCTACACTATTTTGACCCCTCTATTAGCGAGGTAATCTATAAGCAGACTGCTGTTGGATTCGCGCAGGACTCCATTGGGTTTGAAGAGGATTTTATGGGAGGGGTACAAGATAGGGGCCGATCACAAGCAGGATACTTAAGGGATCATGGGACTTCGTATTTGGGCTTATGGATAAGACATCTAAACTACGAATGTCTTAATCCCTTCCCCTGAACATTCAACCCCCCCCTAATATAAAAACTGCCGGCCCCCGGAATTTTGCGGTTTCGGGCCCCGCATTCAATTTAAAAGGGACAACATTAAGGGGGGTGGCAGATCTGTATGTGTTCTAATTGAAGGAAGACTACCGTAGTACTAAAGACAGCAGAGCTTTAGGGTTTAAGGGTTTAGGGCTCAGGGCTTTATAGAGCCAAAGATTACAGCAGTACTAAAGAGACACGAGAGCTTTAGGGTTTAAGGGTTTAGGGCTCAGGGCTAAAGCTTTAGGGCTCAGGGCTTTAGTTTGGGGCTCGAGGTTTAAGGCTTAGGGCTTTAGTAGGGCCTCAGGGCTCCAGGCTTAGGATAGCTAGCAGTCTAGCAGCTGGGAGTCCGGGTACGTGGGTGCACCGAAACCCCCCCTAATATAAAAACTAAACCTCCGAAATCCAGTTTTTATATTATGGGGAGGGGGGGAGCGTTTTAATATTAGGGGGAAGGGATTACAAACCCATTTACTTGGAGGTCCTTGGGACCTATAACCCTACTTGCAACTACCATTAAGCCTACAAGTTGGGTATAACCATGCTTACTGAATCCCATGACCCTCCCAATAGAGCTTAGTAGGATCCTCGCCTTTTGGGTGGACTATAAGGGAATGATATGACTACTAGACACTTTGAAATCCCAAGTTTTGAAAAACATATATATATATATATATATATATAATAAACCCTAAACCCTAAATATATACGCTTCACCTAAGGACCTGGAGCATCAGACAAACGTCTTCATGCGAGCTGTCGTTAAGCACCCCTAAACCCTAAACCATGAAAACATCTCAACGCTGCGCGCGGTGATGTGTAGACAAGCGGCATCGAACATGTCGTGCTCGGACGTGTCCTCGAGGTACATGAAGAGCGCCTGCTTGAGTGGCTTACTCCGAGGGACCCCGAACTCCCAAACCCTAAACCCGAAGCTCTAAGCCCTCTTACCCTACACCCTAAGCCCGAAGGGTCATATGGCCACAGTTATTTTAACTAGGAGATTTGCGGCAACTAGAACCAACGATAAAACAAATTCCAATATGGAAGCCCTACTTTGCACAGTGTCTCCGTTCTGCAGGAACAAAGGGAGGTTCAACCCTAGCACCAAAAAAAAACAAAAAAACAAAAAACAAAAAACAACAACAACAACTGATACCCTAAAATCGAACCGGTGAATTCTGAAACAGGTCCTGAACTCCAGAAACCCCTCGCAGCTATCATGCACACATCACACAAACTGACTACACACCTCCAAAGCGCCGTAAACTCGGCAAGTTGCAGCTCTTACAGGGTTTAGGGCTTACTGTATAGGGTTAAAGAACAATAAACTTTGTGATGCTGACGAGGCCCCTGGGTAGCTCCTCCAAATTACGGATACCCTTTTCCTACTTTTCTCACCAAGGTAGGTTTAGGTTTAGGGTTTAGGGATCTGGGAGGTGGACTGAGGCTGACGTTTTTCTCTCCGTCGGAGCTTCCGCAAACAAGGGACTCGTAATAAACTCCCTGAGCACTCATGCAAGGGGGTCTGACTAATTAGATTAGGGTTTTGAGGGTTCCTCATTTTAGGTATAGCATAATGGCCCCCAAAACCCTATTCTAATTATTAAGGCCCCTACATTAAGATCATGTGCTACGGCGTCCCGTAACAAAGGATCAGAAGATCTCACCAACCTGCCATGGACGAACCGAGAATCGTGCCGAGACCGAGAGCTACCGAGTTGGACAGTAACTTGTCTTAAATGTAGGATTGGGGATATATTGGATTTGGGTATACTCCGTCTATAGAGTCTATGCCCCAATTACAAAGCTCGCGGAATAGCGGATACGGTGCGTGCGCCAAAATGAAACACTGTGCACATGCAGCCCAGCACCTACAGCTCTAAACGCTGAAACTCCAATTGCTCAAATCCTTGACTGAACCGTTACACCATAAACCCTCGAACCGTCAGCCATTAACCCTTAAACTCCAAACCCTCCATAGCTTTGAATTTCAACACACTTCAGCCATGAAATCACCAGTTCCCCCGGGTCGCGAGGCCGCGATTCCCCAAGTCAAAACCCAGCAGTCTTTCTGGCTTTAGGGTTATTATACGGGCGCTTTTGCGGGTTCTCACCAGAGTTCCTGTAAGGGCTCCTCTAAGGGCCCATGACCGCCATCACCACGACAAACATCATCATACATAAACACCATCATTCGTAAGCCTGTCAGTGATTCCATCCGTCTAGCTTCAGTTAGGGGCCTTCACAGTTTTGATGGGGTCTCGGGCGATGATTACGATACACTCATATGCACAACCCCTTATACGGAATAGCACTGGCAATCTTCAAGCCCCCTGAAGCCTAAACATCATTCGGGCACTTGTACCATCCTAATACACCTTGAGCCTCAAGCTATGAAGCTCCTACGGAAGTCCTATTCTAAAACATTTGAAGGTCCTCATAATGTGGTCGTCCTTGCCCAAAGCGTCCTAGGTATTGTTATGGGGGATACTTCCCTAAATCATAATAATAGTTGCCAATATAGAAACCCTACATTCTACTCTATGGGTGGTTGTCAAAATTATGGCCTCTTTTGGGGTACCCTAAATAATAGGTGCCGTATTATCATCAGGACCCCAAAAAGGGACCCTAATTTTGACGACCACCCATATAGGTACTTTGGACCCTTTGGGTTAATCATCTGCCAGCCTTCAGGGAGTTCTTATGGCCCACCACGAGCACGGACTCACCGGACATGATCCGAGGGGCGATACCTTGGTAGCCGATGACACTCTGGAGTGTAAGTTCGGGTTGAGGGTTTACGGTTTGGGTTCCAGGGTTTACTCCTATGCAGTTTATGTGCTTCGGGGTTTATACGGCATAGGGCCATAGGGTTGAAATTCTATCGTGTTTCGGTGTTGTGTGGATCCATGTTGGGTCTGGGGTAGAGCTATTCTTCGCTCACTACAACTCAGCCTTTACTTGCACAGTCACATTCACAATGCCCGAAGCTTGGGACTTGAAGTCTTGGAATTTCAAGTTCAGAACTCAAGATTTCCCGGCCCTAAACCCTAAACCCTTAACCCTAACCATGGACGGATCCGACCGTCGACCTTCCTCTCTGAGTCTCTGAGCCTCCGGACACTTTCGCCAGTATGGCACGATTCGGTCGACAGTCCGCGCCAAGGATTCGCCACCTGCCAAAAAGTCCAAGTAACAATATAGCACAACTTTGGGGACCCAAATATCCACCAAGAACCTGCTAATGTGGGATGACATTGGTACTTGGACCCTTTGTGCCTGTCACGGGGGCTCTCGGGGACCAAAGACGCCCAGTTACTCGCAGAGCAGGTCACTGTAGACTGTTGCTTACACGTATAACACTAAACCCAAACCCCATGTAGCCATAGCGTAGTAAGCCACCAGAGGCAACTGGGCTTCCCAACAAGTTTTCGGATCAGAGATTCCATTAGTGGAGATATCGGATTACGGGTCTGAAACACTCTTGGCAACACTTACACGTAGCGAAGAAACGCAAAGAACAACGTGTCGTCAAAGCCCTGCATCCCCAACCAGGCTGCTAACAAAAACAAAACCCTAAGGGTAAAAGTGCACAATTATACTGTATTCTCATAAATAGTAACCTACATAACTACTATCCCAAAGCCGAATTGAATACCTAATTATTGGGCCCTTTGGACCCTCAGGGAAACATCCCTGCTCGTCGACTTTCACCAACTGAACACTTGACTGTCATGTAGGAACCTGATTAAGAAACCATGGGTTCTTATTAGGGCTCTTATATGGATCCTGATACATTGGGGGGTGATAGGGACGTAGTTTCTTAATCAAGTTCCTACATTAGACGTAACCCCGAGATGCAATTCCGAAAGTCTGACCTCAATCGTCCTGGAAACGCCAACTCCTAAGGGCCTAAGGGTCCCTAGAGGAATTCTGTTGCAAATCATGTTGGTAATTCTTGATATAGAAACCCTACATTCTACTCTACAGGTACTTAGGCCCCTTTTGGTAACTGTTTCCGTAAGGTCAACCAATCAATTGGCCAAGGAGGAAACGTGCCCAAAGTCGTTGAAAGTTCCTACTAAGCCTTTACACCCTAACCCCCCCACCCGACTCTTCAAACGCTGTTTAGTTTGTCGAGTTTAGAGAACTATACAAGCCATGCAGCACATGTAATACTGCAACCCTTGATATACAGGCCTTAATGGTTAGAACTGGGTGTTGGGGATATTGTTATACTGCTATATAGTAGCAAGGACACCCCCCTCCAAAAAAATAACACACACACACACCCACAGAGATTTACAACTGATAAAGCCCCTATAAGAAACACCCCTTGCAACCCAAGGCCTGGAGGAAGTTCGGATTTCGGAATGCCCGCATAGAGCCTTGCTTGTCCCAAAGGGTAGGAGGAATGAGGCCTGAGGCCCTTTCCGGCCTTTGGGCTCGGTTAATTGAGGGGTGTGTAGCTCTGAGGGTTTAGGGGGGACGTAGGGTCCTTCGGCTTCGTTTGTTTTAAGGCCTCTTTCTATTCCCGCAGAAGCCGTCTCGGGGCTTTTGGATCTTCAGTTCTCATCCTCGCCGTCTTTGTGACACACGTCTGCCAAATTCGAGGTTAATCTTGAAAGTCCAGTAGGAGAACTGCCTCCACTCCGCAGCGTCATCAACCAGCCTTGCTCTCGTGGCCTTGCGGACGGCCGCGTCTGCAAAGAGACGATCTGGCATCGATGAACGACCATACAGCAACAAAGTTTCTCGCTTACAACACAGCAACACCATGTACAACAAGCATAGTTGTGCGGCTTCGTTTAATTGGGGGGTGGGGGCGTGTAGCTCTTAGGGTTTTGGGTTGAAGGTTTCAAAGAAGACTTTAGAGTGTTAGGGCCTATAGGGTTTAAGGTTTAAGAACCCTAAACCCTAAACCCTGGTTAATGTAGGAACCTGATTTAGAAACCTTGGGCCTTTGTCAGGGCTCTTTTTTTGTGAACCCTACTATTTTGCGGTTATGGGCCCAGCCAGGGCTTCTTAATCAGGTTCCTACATTATAGTAGATGCGAGAAAGTTGGAACATGACCTTAGGAGGATTAGTGCTAGGATCCCTTATACTTTACCTTAAGGGCATGAAGGCAATGATGTTCCAACTTTCTGGCTTCTACTGTAGGGCTTTCCGGGGTATAGGGTTCACAACATTCCTTCTGCGATCTTCTGCGAGTCGACTTTGGGAGGCTCAGAGTCTGGTGTAGGGCCTAGGGGTTTTATATAGCTGCCTTAATGATTGGAATAGGGTTCCTTTTAAAGGGTTCCACAAGGGCTACTATAAGGGATCTATGAGGGTACTATATAGTACCGGGGCCTTAATAAACGTGACCAGGGTTTTGGGGTATGTGAATGTCTTCTGAACTTGGAATAAGGAACCGCCAAGACAGCGGTGATAGCTTGGGGGTCTTTCGGGTTTGTTTGCTTTCTGATGCAAAAGAAACTGAATAGGAGGTCAGACTTGGTGTTTAAGGCACGCAGGGGTTTGCGGGCACACCCGGAACCCGGGATTCGCCTCTTAAGTGTCTGAAACTAATTGCGGGGCCGTAATAATGAGAATAGGGTTTGGGGCCCACAACACCATCATTATACTAAGGAACCCCATAACGTATTGGTAATTATTGAGGCCCCTATAGAAGGCGGAGAGGCGTTGTGGGGAAAATATGAGTCCTTAGAGCCTTAGGGTAAGGAACAGGTACCAAAAAAACTTCTTCAAGCATGACCCAGGAATTGAGCCAGAAAGTCCGGCTCATGTGACTACATCTAAGTGGCCGCCTAGGACTCTCAACCACAACGTCTTGCAAGCTCTGAACCCCAAGAAAACCCCGAACCCTCTCAACGACCCTGAACCCCAAACCCGTATGACCCTCAACCCTAAACCCTGACCCTAAGACCATCATCCCTAAAGCGAAAGGAGACCCACAAGGGCCGCCAGAGCAACCGTTGCTGCCCAGACGCGGATTATTCACGGGATGCCGCACGTCGTCCAGCCCGACGCACTCCGGCATGATCTGAACCACTTGGGCTTTTGTTTACTGTACTTGGAGGTTCATGGAAGTTATAAGTGGGGTTAGACGTCCCCTAATATGGTGTATAACTGTAGTTGCCCTACTTATAACCCCACTTATAACTGCCCATGAACCTCCAAGTAGCCTCTCGGGACTCATAGTTTCAGGCCGTTGGGCCTAAAGACAACATTATATGAGGCTGTTGGGCCATTTTGAGCCTCAGGGTTAGAGCTTGACATGCTTTCTACGGCCAGGCTCTAGGATTATATAAGCTGCTGGGTTGAAGAAGTTTAACAGACTATGCAAAGGTTGTTCTTGGATGTGGTCACCTTTCGAGTCTGTTTCTACGAAACTGTCATATGGGTCTTGAACGGATCATAAGGAGCAAAAAGACCAAAGAAACAGGAGCGCCGAATGCGTCTTCTTGACAAACGATTCTGTGGCTGTTTTTGTTGCAAGCGCGTGGCGTTCGGGATATAGTATAGAAATCGGCACCTTCACAATAAGTTAAGATCTCAAGGTTCAAGGATATGTAAGTGAACCCAGCACGCAGCTGTTGCAGCTTCCATGCCGGCAGGCCACGTCATAGCTACCGCGCCAAATGTTGACCTTCTCCTTGCCATACCTTGGCTTCCAGCCCAGCTGGCATCGATTGTTAATCTTGAACCTTATGCACATTTTGCCCCTAGCCCGAGGACGAGAAACGAACGGGGACATGGGGACTGTTGTACAGCTGTTTCGGTGGCGAGCTGATGCCCTGGAAGGTGTTCAGGGCCTGTTAAAACACAGAACAAGTCGAAAACTGACAAATGAATGCCAAACTCACCACGACGAGAGGTCTGCACTTCAATTTGAGCTACCCGTCCTGATGGAAGAAAAGTGCGCATACAGAATGCAAACCCAAAACCCTAAACCCTAAACTCTAAACTCTAAACCCTGAACCCTAAATCCTGAACCCTGAACCCTGAACCCTGAACCCTAAACCCTCAACCCTGAACCCTGAACCCTAAACCCTAAAACTTGAACCCTGAACCCTGAACCCTAAACCTTAAACCCTATAACTTGAACCCTGAAACCCTGAACCCTAAACCTTAAACCCTATAAACCCTAAACCGGGCCCTGGGCCCTGAACCCTAGAGATCGGCCTCTGGACCGTGGAATTCGTGAACTCTGGACTCCTGAGCCTCTTAACGAACCCCCCCCCCCCCCTCTCCCGGGTTGGAGTTTGGGTTTAGGGTTTAGGGGTTTAGGGTTTAGGGGTTTAGGGGTTAGGGTTTAGGGTTTCGCCAAGCCCCATGCCTGCCATATGATGCCAAGAACTCCAACACTAAACCCTAAACCCTAGAACTCCTCAGTCAAAGCAAAGAAGCAGCACACTAGCCTGGTGCTTCGTCAAGCCCTGCAGTACACCCGGATGCCGGGCGTTGAGACACCAGTGCTTCCTGGCCGTAGCAGATTCGTCTCTCTTTAGGCTCCAGCCTTACACTTGGTATACACTTGGTACAAGGATTGCAAAGCAGATATTTCCTACATGTTGAGACCTGCTGTTTGGTCTGGAACTTCGCAGCTTAGCCTCTGGGGGCTGTGCAGCCGGGCATGTAGGCTAGTTTTTTGCATTGCCGCCCGACGTGTTTTCGGGTGCTCCAAACCAGCCTCCTACGCCACATCCAGGCCTGACCTTTTTGAGCTCCATCAGCTTTCTGCCCTACCGTCACCGTGCTGACTGTCAGAAACTTGAGGCTGTTCACTTGCTGCCCTTCTAAACCAGGGCGATACCATGGAGACGCCGGAGGCTCGACGCATGTAGCTCCTGTAACCCCTCTTAATTAACCCTGAACCCCAAACCGCTCACGCTGCAGCCGAGGATCACCACCGGCGCATGGGTGTTATTCGACTCCTCACCTAATCAGCTGAATGGGGCACGGCTGAACATGGAGCGCAGGCATACGGCAAAAGAACACATACTGAAGGTGCAGACAATGACGACTTGTATTTAACTTCGCGTGATAGCAAAGGCCCCCGACCCTAAAACTTCAGCCGAATTCTAAGCCCCAAACTCAAACCCAGCGACTCATATCCTAAGCACTAAAACCTCAAAACTCATATCCCAAACCCTCAGCTGCCCAATCATAAGGCATATAACGCTATCGGTGGCTGACCAAGGTGTGACAGGGACTGTGGAGGCGTGCGCTGAGGTTCGGGTTTCGGGCTGCAAGCTTGCATTCTCAGAGTTAATGAAGGAACCTGATAAGAAACCTTGGGCCTTTGTTAGGGCTCCTTATATGAACCCTACTATTTTGGGTTATAGGCCCAGGGTATCTGAATCAGGTTCCTACATTAGGGCGGTTCCTCAGCTGACAGGAAGGTTTAGGGTGTGGGGCCTTCCTCAATAGAGAAGATCTTGATGCTTCCCCCCGACGAATATTCAGTGGTACAGCGATCAGATGGATATCCTTACCTCTGCCGCACTAAGGATGTGACATGGCTTTCCCTGCTAAGTTTGAACCGAATAAGCGGTCAAGTTAATGTTTTGGGTTTATAGGGTACAGTCTAGTAAATTCAGGGTTTAGGGTTTAGGGCTTATGGGTTTCGGAGTTCAGGCTTAGCGTTTAGGGTGTAGGGGTTGGGGTTAATCTGTTTGGGGTTTGGGGTTTCCGCATCTCGGAGTCGGCGCCAAGTTGCAGATATACGTGGCGGACTCAATAGCGCGGCTGAGGACCTAGATGTGGCGGCTGCATGTTGAGGTTTAGGATTTACGGAGCGTCCCTGAATAGAAACGAACCTGAAGTCTAATCCCTGAAGCATGCATCTTGACTTAGTAGTAGTAGTAGTAGTAGTAGTAGTAGTAGTAGTAGTAGTAGTAGTAGTAGTAGTAGTAGTAGTAGTAGTAGTAGTAGTAGCAGTAGTAGTAGTATAGCAGCAGCAAGAGCAGCAGCAGCAGCAGCAGCAGCAGCAGCAGCAGCAGCAGCAGCAGCAGCAGCAGCAGCAGGAGCAGGAGCAGCAGCAGGAGCAGGAGCAGGAGGAGGAGGAGGAGGAGGAGTAGTAGTAGGAGCAGCAGCGGAGTAGCAGTAGCAGTAGAAGTAGCATGCGTAAGGGCAGTCTAGGAGTAGCAGTCGCCGCAGTAGCAGTAGTAACACTAGTCGCTTCCGTTGTCGTAGTAGTAGTCACCGTCGTCGTACACTTCCTGCTCGCACTACATGCCTTGTTCATATACTTATAACTTATGGCGTATGGTTGTCAGTAACTAGGGAGCTACAGTCACCGCCGCCGTCGTTGTCATAGCAGCAGTAGATCTCGTCCTCACAATTCCAAAAAGCCTGCTGCTGCTCTCCGTTACTGCTGGTCATAGGCACGGAAATCTTGCATATCTTCGATAACGGTAAAGCGGTCGAAGCAGCACTCCGGCTATCTGGCTCTCCGATGCATGCTTGTCCGCAAAATCACGAGGGTAAGAGTGCAGATGCAGCCATCTGAGAAACCGATAAACCACAAGCTGAAACACCCCTAAACCCCAGACCCTAAGCCTAAGGGTCCAAGTACACAAATATCATAGACCCTCAAAAATAGTAACCTACATAACTTACATAACTACTATCCCAAACCCGAGTACCTAATTATTGGGTCCTTTAAAGGACCCTTAGGGTAAAACCACTCGACCGCCGAAGTTAGACCAAAGATGCCTCGCGGATACCGAGAAAGGCAAGGGGCTGAAGTGAAGACGACGTCGAACTTGAAGCCGTGATCCTTCCTGTAGGGTTTAGGGTTTAGGGTTTAGGGTTTAGGGGCTTTTTAAAGATGCTTTAGGGCTTTTGGTGATGGTTTAGGATTAGGGTTAGGTTGAGAGGCTTTGGGGCTAAGAGAGTCGGATTTAGGACTGATAGGCTGAAGGCATTAAGATTTGCCTCCTGTGCAGAGTGGTGTGTCCGCCTCTAATCTGCCGTGTCCGAGTTTACGGAGCCCTTCTATCTTTGGCTTCGCTGATGGGTTTACTTAATTTCCGGGTACTCCTGCGAAACTGGCAGCTTTTGGAAGTTAGCATGTGAACATTGAGGCATGGTAATGTGACGAAGCCCGTGTTCGCATGACCAGTTTCCATGTGCGGCTGCAGGGGGCCCTACTTGCAGGATCATGTGGTTCCTAAGGTTCAAGATGGTTCAATACATTTGTGTAGAGCTCTTTCGTAAACCCTAAACGCTCTACCCCAAACCTTAAGCCCGAAATCCTAAACTCTAGTGGAACGCTATACCCCAAACCTTTATTATGGCCCGAAATCCTAAACCCTAGTGGAGATCGGGACACATGATTCAAGCGAATGCCTTCAAGCATCAGGGCTTTACGGCTTTAACCACGATTTCGGGCTCCGGAATCAGGTTATATAGGGTTCAATGTTTCAAGAAGCCCTAAGCCCTAAACCCAACCCTCGACCCTAACTAACAAGAGTATGGGAATAAGTTTCAGTTCCGGGACTCCGGGGGGTTGGCTTGATTGGGTTGATCTCTGGGGCTTTAGGTGGGTTTCAGGCTGCATGTCGGATTTAGGTATTAGTTTGGGCTTTCTGCCGTCCGGTCTGTCCAGTCGTGAATTCAGAAACATCTGGGAATTGTGTAAGACTTACGTCGTGGGGAAAGTAATCTCCAAGGGTTCATGTACCCAAATAGTATGTACTTCGGCCTTACAGTCGTCCCTATTATATGGGTACTTTAAAAGGGACAAACATATATCCCAGGGGTTAAGTTACCCAAAATAGTGAGCTACTAACCATTATGTGCGCCAGTGACGTATTTTTCGGGCAACTGGAGCAGGGTACTACTTAGGCAGAGGGACCCCTAGGGAGTATTGGTCAGCTGGTGTGAGAGCGTCTGGAAGTCGGGGTGGTCGGATACGATTTGTGGTTTGGGGCTTTAAGGTTTAAGGTAGACACAGCCGGATCAGATTGTAGCTGATGTTTCGTCCGCATAGCTACTGGAAAGGGACGCAACTTCAGGCAATTAGATCTCGACTGACATACAGGCAGTACCAACAAAGAAGAGAACAGGTCCGAACGACATAGATAGGAATACTCTTCACAATACATATTCACACACAACCCCCCGGGAGTTCAACAGGAAGCAATCGTGAGCAAAACCCGACAACACATTTAGTTTAGGCTGCTCCCAAGTGCGAGCCAAAGCTCAAGTATCGGCCGGCCTTCTTCGCTTGCATCACCCCTTTCCTGTTGCTGGGTTTAGGGTTTATAGGTTAAGGGTTTAAGGTTTAGGGATTAGGGTTTATGGGTTCAGGGTTTAGGGATCAGGGATTAGGGTTTAGGGTTTAGGGTGGGAGGCTTGGGAGGTAAGGCTTCTTCTGGTGGTTTATAAGGTTTAGTGAGGATGCGGCTGGGTCAAGGATCTACAGGTTTTAGGATGGAAGGTTTCTTTACGTTTTACCAGGTTTTTCTGCATTTCAGGGCTTAGGTGCGGCTTTAGGGTTCAGGGGGGCGGAAACCCTAACCCCTAAACCCTAAACCCTAAACCCTATGATCCCTAAGCCCCAACCCGTTTTGGACATGAAGCCCATGGCCTTGATAATCCTTTGCTACACCCCCCAAACTATAGTCTCTTTAGAAATTATTTTTCATTTTTGCTCATATAAAGCCCAAGGGAATATTAAACATACTATGTTTATTATGGTTCTACAGTAGAAGCCAGAAAGTTGGAATATGGATTAATGGTAGGATCCCCTGTAATTTACATTATAGGGGTTACGAGAATGATATTCCAACTTTCTGGCTTCTACTGTAGAACCATAATAAACATAGTATGCTTAATATTCCCTTGGGCTTTATATGAGCATAAATCAAAAATACTTTCTAAAGAGACTATAGGTTGGGGGTAAGCTTAACTCAACATGCGGGTGGTTGTCAATATTAGTTTCCCGCCGAATATTTAGGGTACCCCAAAAGGGACCGTACTTCTGACAACCACCCAAATTACTGCCAATGATGGAATATAGCGTTTCTAAACCCTAAACCCTAAACCCTAAAGGCTGGGGCACTCTGAGGTCTCCATCACAGATGCCCGGGATGGAATGCTAAAACAAGCATGGAATGTAGGGGTCTACATTGGGTACTGCCCCCCCCATACAGTAAGTCTATAATCGGCTACTACTAAGGTCCTAATATATCTACATTATGAATATTATCCAACTGTTAGTGAGTCGCCGGGCAGTGCCCAAGGTCTACATGACTCGACAAGTTGCTCAAAAAGAATCAACTGGCGTGGAGTGCACGTTTTCTGTTGATTACGAACACAGAGGGTTCAAGTACTCCGTATTTCAAGACTGTTGGGGCATTTTAAGCACCAAAACCATGAATTAGGACTGGGGAACCTTCCGCCCTAGCAACACAGACTGCATCCAACTGTGAGATTTTGGTCGGTTGCGGCCTCTGGGCTCAGTACAAAGTTCCAAGACTTCCGATGAAAGATGCCTGCTTCAAGTACTAGCCCTACTCGCACAACCTTGCATGGCGTGGAGTGTGAACCCCTTCATGTTGTCAACTTCCTGCAGCTTGATATTGTCCAGACACTGCCCGGTCTTCATTCGCATCCCTTTCGTCATCGTGCACTTCTGGCTCCCCCAACTGCCTTTCTGATTGACAGTTGTCACATCTCTTACGGCTGCGGCAGTCGCAATGACTTGAAGATGCATACAAGCTCTAAGTCCTCATACCTACCATTCTAACTACCCGCAAGACCTATGAACCTTCACCCCGAAGCGCTAAATGCCCTCTTAAACTCTATACCAACCCACCAGTCCAAGTGGCGGTGTCATTCCTGAGTCTTCCCAGCCGGTAAATTGCTCCTGTGGCTACTGGGTCAATGGGTCAATACCTTAAAAAACAAGTCTCAAGAGTGCACAAGAGCTTTTTGTTTCTTGTGTTAACGGCTTTTGCAATCTCGTCAATTCAGGCACATCGGCATTAACATCCCAATTCTGGGCTTGAGGAAGGTGCGGTGAGAGTTAATCTGGCATCGACATTCTGCTGTGACAAGGAGAGAAGCGCGGGCAAAGTAACGTCTGGGGTCGCTAGAAGTAAGTAAACCGTTTGGGTTTAGGGTCAGGGTTTACCGTATAGGGCTTGGGGTTTGCTAAATACCAGCACTAGCGTGGAGGTAGCTAACTCACCCCGAGCCTATCCAAACCCAACACCCTCGAGTCATAGGTTTGAGTCCTGACTTACGGGGACCTAATATAAAAAACTTCCCACAAGAAGATGTCGTGGAAGTAGGATCACCGATATGGTTTCATGAGGGTCTAACCTTGAACCCTAAACCAGGCATGCGGAAGCATAGCCAACAGACCCGTCTTATCTTCGTTCATGACATCCTACCATCCTAACTCAATGCTGCCTGGAGGAGGCCTGAAACCTGTCGACCCTGAAATTGGGACAGCTGAAACAACCCAAAGCCCCAAACCCTACACGCTGCAGGCCCGCAGACTCGAAGAAGGAACGATTCCTGAGCCCTCCAGAACCCTATCATCCAAGCAGGAGAAGCCTTGAACAAGTCTCTCAAGCCTAGGCCCGCCTGAACCTTAAGCCCTAAACACCGAGGAGTGCCTTGAGATTGCACTCACTCTCTCCATGCCGCAAGAAGACAACCTGCCACAAACTTGCGATTTCAACCCTATAAACCCTAAACCCGAAACCCGTGTTTTCTGGGTGCATGGTTTAACTCAAAGGGTCCCAGGTACGCTATGGGGAATACTTTCCCAAATCGTATAAGAGAAGCTAATTTCTACTATAGAACCCGTACAATACATTCTACGATATAGGTACTTAGGATCCATTTATGTAGTTAAGCTTCGCCTGGAACCAACAAAACTTGGCACGTGCCGGCACGTACGTACGGTGCCTTGTGCAGTGCTGTAGCCTCTGCTTGTGTCTAATGGCAGGCTCGGCTGAATGAGAATTGTTGTTGAGTGCGCAGCTTCGCTTCTCAATGATGGCTGATAGGTTTCAAGTGTCTGCTTGGCTGCTCTCTCAGCGGATGTAACAGTCCCCTACACCATAAACCCGGACCGGACCTGGCCATTCATCTTAAGCCCTATACACACCAAAACCTCTGTAGTCCTGCAAAGGTAACCATGACATGATTGGTCGTGGCTTTTCGCCACTATCTTCGCGTACTCACCCCTGAATCTTACAGAAGCCCCTTCGACAACCCCAAGTACAACTAGCAGTCAAAATGTACGATGGCAGACAGGCAAAAGTAATTCCTACAAGGGACACCAGAAGCATCGAGCAACCTGCACTGAACTCCGGAACCTTGCCCTAAATGCCTCTAAACCCTAATCCTACCCCAAGACATCCCGGAATCCCAAGACCCAACCCTAAACCCTAGGAGGGCCTCCCGAGGATATCCTTAGGAGTACCCCAACCCTAAACCCTAAACTCTCAACACAAACTCCAAACCCTAACAGGGCCTCCCCAATTAGACCCTCAACCCTAAACTCCCAACCTAAACCTTAAACCCTACACCCCCAAAAAGCCTCTCCGATCTTCTTGTATTGGCTTCCCGGTTGGTTGTGGAAGCGCGTGAGGCCCAGCCGTGAAGGACTCAATCCGAGCTCCGGGCTCAGGGTGCTCAAGCTGTACCTTGGAAGTATAAAGGGTCAAAGGCTTAGAACATCTTGGAACTTAGTTAAGGTTGTTGTTAAGGGTCTAGCGCTCAGGGGCTTGAAGCTGTACCTTGGAAGTATAAAGGGTCAAGGATTAAATAAGGGCATAGAACTTTATTATTAAGTTTTTTGTTAAGGGTCTAGGGCTCAGGGGCTTGAAGCTGTACCTTGGAAGTATAAAGGGTCAAGGGTTAAAGGCTTAGAACATCTTAGGTCTTAGAACTTAATTCAGGTTGTTGTTAAGGGTCTAGGGTTCAGGGGTTTAAGGTGTAACTTGGAAGTACTACAGGGTTTAGGGCCTTGGGGTTTCTTTAGTTTAAGGTTGTTTTAGGGTTCAGGTTTTAGGTGCTTCGGGGTACTACATGAATTACTTCAAGGGTAATTTAAGGTACTGCATGGGGTGCTTGAAACGTACTTCAAGGTACTATATGGGGTGTGCAGAGTGCTCAAGCTGTACCTTGGCATGAGGAACTAAGATTAGGGTTTAAGGCATTAGGTTGGTAAGCTGTATCTTGGAAGTACTAGAGGGTTTAAGGCTTTGCGGGCATAGGGTTTACGTTGGGAGTAAGCGGAGGATGCAGTGTTCAAGGGTTGTGGAACAAGGACTTACCGTGGGAGTACAGTAGCTAGGATTTAAGGGTTTAGGGCTTGGCTTGAGAGTATAGATGAAAGGTGCTTCAAGGGTATGATATGAGCACTTCAAGGGTGCCTTGAGGGTACTGTAAGAGTAATTACTTTGAAGGTACTATATATGGGATACTGCATGGGGCTCCATATTGTATATAGGCAATGTATAGCGTGTAAAGTTATGGATGCAGGTGTCAATGGGATTTCGTGGCGTGTTAAAGGCCGTGGTTTAGTCACAACTGGTTACTGATTATATGACCCAGTCGATTACGGGATTTATGGAGGCTTTATTGTGTGTCCACAGCTTTTTTGAAGGGCAGCGATTCAAAGCATGTCTTTTCTTCGCGGGCCCTTTTCCGACTGCGAACAGCTAGACTGTCTTGCCAGGGGGAGCCTGTTACGGGGTTTAGGGTTTAGGATTTTATCTAACTTGTGAGCTTTACTGAAGTTACAGTGACAGTCTTTGTCAGAGACTTGGAAAATGTCGAAGGGGCGCTTCTTGTTAATTTAAATGACTGAAGTCAACCCACCATGAACAGGGTGAGTGTGTGTGCTATCGGTATAAAGTTGTATATGTATATATGTACATACAACAGAAATACAGACAGAAAGACATGTATACTTACATATACATATCATACCTTACATTTATGTAGATAGTTATTATTATATATGATAACACAGATAACGATATACATATAGACATAGGTATGATGTGGAGTCATGCACGTTTAGGGTATATATGTCTGCCTGGAAACATAAGGCCTGCTTCCTTCTTCTAAATCTCCTTGTCTGGACTCAGCTACACGTTGCCTAAGTTTCAGAGTCACGCGTCAGTTCTATTTGCAGCTATGGGCAGGTCAGAAGATACCCGCTCTACGAAGAATGGTCCGGGTTCGGCTTCCCAATGCAAACCGCCCCGAGCTGTGGAAAGATCATGCAAGTATCTACGAGGTTACCAAGACCGAGCTCCGAAGGTTTAGGGCTTCGGGTTGTCCGCTTCACTCATGCTTACAGTCGGTTCTTGTTAGAGTACGTGTTGTAGGCTGGCATGCTTTGGGGTCTCAGGGCTCCTACATCAAGAGCTGAGGGCTGTCAGGGCTCGGGGGCCTTGGGGTGTAGGGCTTACTCAGCGCTTTACAGTAGAAGCCAGAAAGTTGGAATATCATTATCGTAACCCCTTTAAGGTAAATTATAGGGTATCCTACCCTGAAACCATATTCCAACTTTCTGGAGTTACCTTTAGGGGTTTGGGGCCTTTCGGGTTGAGGGTCCTGGCATCGCTTGTTTGGGAAGTGGAAGATCGGCCTGTCTTGGCTAATCACATGTGGAACATAATATTGTTGTCACAAGTTTTATTACTATTGTTCTTCTTCTCTTGTTGTGATTGTTATACCTACTAACTGATTTCTATTATGAAATATTCTGTTTATATTATCCGTCTATATATATATATATATATACATGATTTGATGTTAACCGCCCGCTGCCGACCTACGAGCGAGGGTGTTCAGAGTACTTCGACGAATGCCAAGCATCAAATACGCAGGTATGTGTAGTACTGTAGCTGTCGGTGAGAATTCAGGCAAGTTTTGGTTTAATATTAGATCCTCGGACCTTTAGGGTAGTCCGGGCTTCGCCCCAAAACCCCGAACCCTTTCGGGTAATGTCTGAACCCCACATCCCTCATCCTGGCGCCGAACTTCGCAAGTCCTGCTGTGCCCGGCAAGCAACCTCTTCACAAAGGTGCCGTCATCACCTGCATTCACAAACTCTAAACCCACCTTAACCCCAAATAACCTATCCTTTTAGGGGAATTATAGAAGGAAATCATAAGAGGGAAACTTGAACTTTATAGGGTCCACGTAAACCCTGCCCCAGAACCCTTAACCCTCAACGCCAAACCCTGATCACTCTCTGCCCTTCACTTAGGCGCATGCCTGCGAAGGAAGTCACAACCTACCCCTGCTTAAAGGATCATGGGACTTGTATCTAGGGCTATAATTAGGGTAACTCTACTTATAACTACTTCTAACCCCAATTAAGGTACATATAACCTTACTTAGTAAATCCCACGATCCCCATTATAGAACCCCTATAGATCCCTTTAAGGAGCCCTATTCTAGAACCCTATAGTACCCTTATTAAACAGGAGCCCTAAACCTTACTTGCTAAGTCCCATGATCCTCCAAGTGGAATCAAAGACCCCGAAGCCCCAAAAGGTTCAGGGCGTAGGCCCAAGCTTAGGATTTTGGTTTAGGGTTTAGGGTTTAGGGTTTAGGATTTAGGGTGTAGGATTTAGGGTTGAGCTCAAAGTCATAAGCGTTACAGTAAGGACTGTTGTGTGGGATCTCAAGCTTTAAAACCCGAATGGCAGATGGCAGTTTCAGAAGAAAGGGGACGAATATAGATCCATAACATGGTGAAACATGATACAATATGGGATTTTACAAAAATGGGGGACCCCAATATAGCACCCTAAATCGTAGGATCCTTCGTATTGTAAGGACTACCCTAATTTTCGGACATTCCCATATCATATAACATACCTGTACATAAGACACCTGATATAACATGACAATGCACAAGTCATCGAACCTACGGTTAAAGCAGCTTTAAGGTCAGGTTGCAGGGCAGTGCCGTCCTCGGGCCGCAAGAGCCCTGAATCCGCATACAAATCTATACCCCACCACAAACGCAAACCCTAAAACCCTACAGGCTGAAGAAAACACCCAAAAGCCATAAGCCCAACAACTCTAACCCAAAACCTAAAGAGGCGAGGCTAAAGACAACTCCTAAAAACCCACAAACCCAACAACTCCAAAAACAAGTCCGGTCCTGAGGCCCTTGCTGAAGTCGAAGCACAACGGAGCTGTCTGTGAGGTGCCGTCGAAGACAGAGCTGGCTTCGGTGCCCTCAGCGAGGGAGGCTCTTTGGGCTAGACGTTTCCGAAAATTAGAGACCCTTATTTTCGGGGTCATTTTAAAAGGATCCTACTATTTGGGGTACTATATCAGGGTCCCCTATTTTCGGAAAGTCCCATGTAGACCTGGGGCTTGGGGTTTAGCGGTGTAGGGTTTGGGTTTAAGGTTTAGTTTTTTTTTGTTGTTTTAGGTTTGGGGTTTAGGATTTAGGATTTACGGTTTAGGGTGTAGGATTTGGGGTTTGGGATGGCTTAGGGCATAGGGTTCTGGACTTTGGGCGTGTGCAGGATCTTTTGATTGTTTCGAGTTTTGCTTAGGATGACAAGTCTCGGGCTAAAGGTAGTTCCCAAAACACTCTGTCCCAAAAGACTAAAACCCTCAGCGCTGCCGTGTTAGGGTTTAAAGTTAGACTTTGCCCCTCGGCTCGACTGAAAGTCCCAGTTTGGGATTCAAGGCTTTAGGGCTGCCCCATAGAAACAGCACACTCTAAACTCTATAAACTTAGAAACCCTCTCAGCCTACTGAGCCCTGTAAACCCGGCCCATATAGATTGTGCCCGCCCCACCCCTCCCTGCGCCTCAATGTGCCCGAAAAGCACCCGGAGGGAGTCGCGGTGAGCCACGACCAAAATGCTCTTCTGGCCTTCTCAAGCTTCTAGACTGCAAAGGTTTCGGGAAGCTACGGTTTTAGCATTGCGGATTCTCAAGGTGTAGGGCCAGTGTGAACTAAAGCATATCATATACCATCTTTCGCTGTCAGATCCCAATTCTGCGAGAACGGGCTCCCTCTTCAAGCGATATCCTCAAGCCCGGAAGCTCCCAAACCAGAACAAACAAAACATAATGAATCAACAGCACTAGATGCGGATGCTAGGCTCAGGCCGTTAGGGTTTATTGTCAAGTCCAAACCGTAAAGCACAAGCCATCCCAACATCTTGAAAGCAAGCCCTGAGCCCAGATTGTGCCGCCCCAGTTGCCTGTCAGCAGTGGAAGAATGGTCTTCGTCCAGTACGGGATAACTCTGGCCTCAGCATTCAAGGCCGATGGCTTGCGCCGCAAAGCTAGCAGCATCATGATTGTCGCTGCGACCTTAAGCCCTGCATCAAGGACCATGGGACTTAGTAACTAGGGTTATGATTAGGGTAACGATACCCATAACTACTTATAACCCCAACTAGGTACTTTTAACCTTACTTACTAAGTCCCATGATGCTCCAAGTAGATCCCAATAGAGACTCTCGCCTATGATGACGAAAGAGGTGGTCGTGGTCAAGATATCATTAGGTTAAACGTTGCTGGTATTTGTGCTTAGGGCTACGAATCAGCACAATGCCCAAAACATCCGTAGAACATCAATGAATCGAGCCCAGATGGAAGCCTCAACCCTGAACCCTATAATATGGCCCTATAACACCGACACAGAGCAAGCAAACCTCAAATCGCCCTGAAGCCGTCATAAGACCCCTGCAGAGCCGTTTTACGACCCTTCGTAAATCCCACTTGAAGAGACAAACCCTCAACCCTAAGCCTGAAACCCTAAACCTCAACCCCTAAACCCTCAAACCTTAAATCGCCGAAAGACCAAATAAGACATTCTAAGCCCGCGAAAAGATAAACCCTAAACCCTAAACCCTGAACCCTAAACCCTGAACCCTAAAACCTAAACCCTGAACCCTCAAACCATAAACATCACCAAAGTGGCTGCTGTGATGGTCAGGGACTCACCTCCTGGCAGCTCCTCCGGGGGGACATCCTGGCAAAGATTTCGGGGTCTTAGTTTTTTGAGTATTGACCCCCCCCCCCCCAGAGGCGGCGAGGGGGGGGGGGAAAGAATATGAGGGGGGGGGGGGGAGTATTTGGGGGGGGGGGGGGGGGGGAGGTTCGGCAAGCAAGTACAGTTATCATGACGATGGAAGGCTTGCAAATGGGGGGGCTGCGCCCCCCCAACCCCCCCGCTTGTCTTAGGCTCAACCCCCCCTTGTTTCGAGCCGCCAGGAAAAAAAAAGCGTTCGCCAACACAAGAAGGAAACAGCCACATGCAAACACTTCAGGGGTTGAAAAGCAAGGAAACACAACTGAGCAGGAATCATTTGGCAGGTTTGCAAAAGGGGAAGGGAAGGGTAAGAACGACAACCCGGGGGGGTGTTGTTTTCTCAAGAATGCGGGGAACAACAAGCGGAGGCGGGGTTGTTGTTCTTTCAAGAGGGAGGGAACAACAACGAAGGCGGGAGATTGTTGTTCGCTCAAACTACTACTACTCTAACCACTAGTGATTTATCTGCAAATTTGAAAATGGAGGCTGGGATGCAGCGTCTGTCGCAGCTCGTTCGCAGCTCAACAAAAAAGACAAAGGCGGCCAAGAACTCAACATGGCAAGAACAAGTAGTAGTAGTAGTACTACTACTACTACTACTACTACTACTACTGCTACTGCTACTACTACTACTACTACTACTCCTTCTCCTGCTCCTTCTTCCTCACCCGACAAAATACTACAACAACCATTCCTAAAGAGACCCCCCTCCTCAAGAGTACGAGTCCCCCCCCCCCCTCAATACTCCTGAAGTATGAACCCCCCCCCCCCCCCCCTCAATACTCCTGGAGTATGGCCCCCCCCCTCAATACTCCATAAGGACCCCCCCCCCCTCAATACTCCTGGAGTAAGGACCCCCCCCCCCCTCAATAGTCCGAGAGAACGACCCCCCCCACCCCGCTAACGGCGCTATCTGAGTTTTTTTTGTTTGAGGAGTCTTAGGGTTTAGGATTTAAGGCAAACCATTATAGTAGAAGTCTTATAGGTCCGGGGATCTGTGCGGGTTCTGTGCGGTGTTGACCGGATTTTGCCTTTTGCTTTGCTCTCACCGACAGATGAGCCACAATGCAATTCTGCTCCGTCCGATTCTTTGTTTTTGAGTTTCTATGCGCCTCCGAACCACGCTTGTTTCAATAATAAGTGCTTTCGTGTTGCGGCCCTCTCCGGCAATTGTGACAAAGCGGGAGGCAAAACAGCACTACGGCAAAATGCACGTCAACATCTGCAAGGCTTGAGGGTTAAGGGTCTAGGATTGGGAGTTCCTCGACTGCAACGGCTCCTTCAAGCTGTTCTATAAGTAAGTGACTCTTGGGCCTCACTGGGCACCAAAAGCCTAACAATAAGGATTGCTTGAACCCTTATGTTTCGAGATTCGGGGACGTGAAGGATTCCAGAACCCGGATCTGCACACGGCCCGAGTCATTCCTTATAGAATGTAGACCCGGCCGTAGGTCCCGCTTGAATATCGAACACATCAGATACTATGACACAACGTAACAACATAAACCTGGAATCTACAGTATAACATAACCCACTGTGAAAAGTAGTGAACACGTGCATATACAACCATGTACACTACTCATCGAATGTAGAACCAAAAGTATGTCTTGTTGGAAACATCGATCACACCAGGTAGCATGAAACAGTATGATGACAAACATGTTGATCTACAATAAAACAATATGTATATGCACAAAACCAAGAAAACATGAACCTATACATATGTGCATACCTACATCCCCATCTACATATAAACATATAACATATATATATATATACATATATATATATAAATACAATATGTATACAAACCAGTTAAGCATAAATATGTATATATATATATATACACATACACACATAGTGAGAGGGAGAGGGAGAGAGAGAGAGAGAGAGAGAGAGAGAGAGAGAGAGAGAGAGAGAGAGAGAGAGAGAGAGAGAGAGTGTGTGTGTGTGTGTGTGTGTGTTGTGTGTGTGTGTGTGCGTGTGTGTGCGTGTCTGTCTGTCTGTCTGTCTGTCTGTTTGTCTCTGTGTCTGTCGTGTGTGTGTGTGTGTGTGTCTGTGTGTGTGTGTTTAGGGCCTTTCGGGTAAGGCCCGGGCCTTGTACAAACGATCGTTGGCCGGGTGCCTGGGGTCCTCCGTTGAAACGAGTTAACGGTTTAGGGTTTAGGCGCTTAGGATTTCGGGTGTGTGGTGTATCTGGGTTTGGGGTGTCGGGGTTGGGGTTTCGGGTTCTGGGGTTTAGTGTAGGGTTTCGGGTTCTGGGTTTCAGGAGTAAGGGTCCAGGTTGCATAGGGCTTCGGGTTCCGGGTGTTGGGGTATGGTCTTCGTTTAGGCTGAATGCAGCGGTGATGATGCTCACACCGGCTTAGTTCTAGTCATTCTTTGCAGAGCGTAACATACTTCTTGAATGGTGAATGGCTACTTGAGAGGGAACAACAGGGGCCCTGAAAGAGAGAAGCCCCAGTAGAAAGTAGGGAATGTCTGTCGAACTGAGACACGTTGGAATGCTCGTCATGTCAAGCAGCACACAGCAACACAGCTCTGGAATTACCATAGGCTGCAGAATCATCCCAAGTCCATGGTACCATGTGTGCCTAAGCCTATGCCCATGTGGTTCCTGTGGGATGTTGTCACCGGGCAGGAACACTTCTTCCAGTACACTGCTTCTTCGTGGCAGAGTTCATCTATGGAGTGCCTTGAAGCCTCGGGCCTCTTGTCGACAGAGTTCAGACAGACCCAGTGTTCAGGGTTTAGGGTGAAATGCCATCATTGCTTTTTGGCAGGCTGGGGTTTAGACTAGACTGACTATCGAAGCTTAACCAATTCTCCCAAATACCTTCACGGTGCCTGGGACAGAATCTATAGAGGCCATGAAAGTGCAAGCGAGGGTGTGGCTACACCTTATTCTGAACGATAGAAGACTTGTGGGGAATTACAGCAATAACCTGAAGACTGTTCGAACTAGAGAGCCTGTCAACCACATTGTGTTGCCAGACAACTTTAATTCTGTCCAGGCAGCTGTTTTGTCGACACACTCTGGCAGAACATCATCCTGGGCAGTTTGTGAAATGAGATGCCCTGGAATGCTGATTTTCGTTCGAAGCAGCATGGTGTCGTCCTACACATGGGGCTGTCCAGAGTCTCGGCTAGCTGAAGTGATTGCAACCTCGTCCCAAGCGCACAGCAACGACTGAAAATTGAAAATCACATGGCTGCCCAGTATCACTGCCGCGCCAGTGCTTGACCTTGTTGGGCAGATGGATAACAGCAAGAACTACGGCACGGCACAATGCTGGCATAGTGGGGCCTCGAGGACACAAGAATCAGGAACGCGTCTCCGGTTTTGCCAGTGAACACAAAACCCCAAACCTAATACTAATCTTTAAACTGATGCGCAAGAATGTGTGTGGGACTATGTCAGAGGTTGCCCAGGTCTATCCCAGTTCTTGGCCAAATATATAGCACCTTCTTTGGCTTATCCGACGCTAAAATGCACCCGAACCCGTTAAAGCTCACCAGTCAGCTAGCAAGAACTCCTTATAGTCTTCATTGTGGTTCTTAGAATTCGGATTGTTACCCGAATTATGGTCAGGATCCGCAACCAGAGAAAATATTGTGAACCTGCAGGTAGTGACTGTTGTAGGCGAGAGCGCTGAATGAGTTTCGATTCTGCTAGCTTCACTGACAGGTGGTTAGGGTTTAGGTTTAAACTACCGCCATCGCACAAAGACCTAGCGGGTTGTGTACTCCGAATATATCTAATCATTGCAATCCTACGAGAGCTTTCGCACACACACAAGCAGACTCTGTAACACTACAGCCTAAAGCCCTACAGCTCTATGTGCCTGTTTGCAGCATCATATACTTAAGCAGTCAATTAGCTGGCCCCTAAACATTCACCATCATTAACCTTAGGGCCGAAGCAAACTCTATGTTTGTACGTGGAATACGTCTGACCCGAAACCCGAAACCCTCAAGCCTAAACTGAACCCCCTTACCGACAGAAAGCCAGCTCCGAGGTGCTCTCGCTTCGCCATACATGTCAATGGCCTCTTTCTCCGTAAGCCCCTGTCATGAGAGAAACACACATTTGTGCTGGGGCTAGGTTTATAGGGTCTGGGATGCAGGGTTTAGGTGACTACAGCAGTGTCTTCGGGCAGAAGGTTTCAGGTTTTTTCGCATCCCCCACAGTCCTCTCCAACACACATGAGAGCCCGGACTGCTCAAACGGCTCTTAAGGCATGATTGTGGCTATCAGCTTTGGGGTGTTAGGGTTCAGCTTGGGGCCTACGCGGTTTAGAGTTTAGGGATTTTAAGCTTCGTGGGGAGCTTCCATGCAGGTCTTATCTCTGACAAGGATTGTGAAACCCGAGACCTGAGTAACTCTCCAATACCGATCGAAAAACCTGACCCTGGGAGATAGAACAGGTGCGCCTGCAGAACGCCTGAGTGGCCGGGATTCCTTCAGCGAACATGCGGGTGTTCAAGTCGCCGGGTGGAGGAGTGGTGGTCTTGAAAAGAACACTCATGTGCTTCTTCAGGACCTTTAGGGTTTTGGTTTTAGGGTTTTACAGAGTTACAGTCCTGGGCGTCAGCTTAGTGATCGTGTTAAACAATAAACCTCAACCGTGATAGCCGGAATTTTCTTTCGGGTGCCCAGCGTCCTCATTGTCGGATCCCCCTTCTGAACAAGCATCAGCAACAGGTAGGGTTTAGTGCGGGTTTCTGGGCTCGAGTTTGCAGTCCGGGCGAAGTTTTAATTTCTGGAGAGTGGAATTGACTGTCGAGCTCTCCGGGTTTCACGCAAGCATCATCTCGCAAATCCCTGGTCTACACTGACAGTTTGACAAGTGTTGGGTCTAAAAATTGTTCGGTTCGATCGAAAAAAGAGATTTCCGATCCGAAACAATTGAATTCCCAGGCCGGCAACTTGCTTTTTGAAGTGGGAAGCCCCCAACTGCACGATTGTGATTTTATTGCTATGCTCCACCCACCGACCTTCTTTAGCGGCAGTGGTTGGACAAACCAGAACTCGAAATTAACAATGCCAAATGCCTCAAGGGTGCAATTGCCAAGCAGCTGTGTTTGGAATGCCGGCGTTGTCCTGGACTTGTCGGGCCACGAGGGCCTATTGAGGTAACTACGGTTTGGGCGTTTAGGACATGTTAGATTCAAGAATTGCTTCCTCACCGGAAGCACCTCTGACTCAGAACTTCCCTGCACTTGAAACAAACCCTGAAAACCCCCAAACTCTAAACCCCTAAACCCTTGAACCCAAAGCTCTGAAGCCACCCCCAACAGTAATCCGTGGAGCACAAGAATTGCACAGCACAAGCGTGTCTGCCGATAACCTTCAAAGTCCAGACCCCAAACCTTAGTTCAAAACTCCGACCAGCCAGGAACCTAAAACCGGATTACCAAACCTGCAACCTCAACCTAAATTCCCCAACACAAATCTGAAGCAAACAGCCCTAGCACCCGACGCCTCAGTCCGAACCCCAAACTCTAAACCCCAAACCCCTGAATCCTATACCCCTAAACGCCAAACCCACCAAACGTGGTCCGAGGCATTGCAGACAAGCTCGGCGGTCCTGACCTCGAAAGGGAGAAGTTCCAGGCTAGTTCCGGGCTTTGGTAGCTTTCCGATGTCGTGGTGTGAGGGCTACTTGGAGGGTCATAGGACTTAGCAAGTAAGGTTATAAGTTCCTTCATTGGAGGTAAGTATAGTTACCCAAATTATAAACCTAGAGCCTAAGTCCCATGATCCTTTAAGCACTCATTCAAGTTGTGGGGTTCAGGTGTCTGGTTTCGGAGTGGAATTAAGTAGACATTCTCGAATCCAGTGTTTCGGCCCCGTTTAGAGCAGGATTTTCGGGACAGAACGATGTGAACAAACAACGACCTGAGCAAAACACGGGAGCGGTAACAAACCTAAAGGAACCCAAGTACCCAGACAGGACACAGAGGGCTGTCATCGGCACTACCATGAACGGTTTGGGTAAGTGGCGCATTACTTATTGGGCGATAGCAGGGAAGGAAATGAAGTGCTGCAGCATGTAAGCGGTGACAACTCAAAAGCAGAACACTCCTGTGTGACACACAACACAGGAATAAGCGTACAAGACTGAGAAGTGGCGGCCATTGTTGAATACAGAACTCTACACGTCTCCTTTTCACGGGGATCACTTCTGATAGCTTACAAATGACCCCGCCTTAGAGCCAGCTGAATGAACATCTAAAGGCTTAAGCCAGTTCCTTAGCACCCAAAACGAAAAGCCGAAAGCCCCTGAAACCTTAGTTCTTTTCTAGCGGGCCCAAAGCCAAAAGCCCAGAACCCTTTAGGGTTGTGGTTCAGGGTGTAGGCCCAAAGCGGAAACGGCAAAGAAATCCTGGGGGTGCTGCTGATCGCTGCAAGACGGACGTGAAAACGTGGTCGAGCCTCACCCCCTGGTCTTTCAGCAAAATGCCCGCCTGGCTTAGGAGATAGTATAAGGGGGACCCATAAGGATGAAAACCATGTCAATAAGGTCTCTGTTGAGAGAAAGTGGTGGTACTCGAAGCGGCAGCCACCGTTCAACTTCATCACAACAGAACAAACACCGTCAAACGTGCATTCGGATCGAGTTCCGCAGGATGCCAAAGTATTTCGGTGTTGCTTATTCAGGGTTATGGCCGCTTATGCTGAAGTTCTGTTAATTTGCGCGAATCACTGGGGTGCCACCACGAGGGGCATCAACAAGAACCCCTAATGTAGAGCAACGTCCTTGTGCGGACCGGCTGGAAGCCAGGGGTTGGCAGTTAGCACGCAGGCGTCTGGGGGATGGAGGACAGGCAGGAACGCCTTTACTAGTACGCTGGTCACACTACACTTGCAATAGTCAAAACAATCTTGCCAGTAATCAGGGTCGGCACAAGAGCCACTAGTGGCATTGTCAGCGTGCTCAGCACGAAGACAGGTGCATCAACCAGAGCGGCACAACAAAAACGGATGAAATTCAAACACACCGATCGGACATCCTGTCCAAACCGCCAAACAACAAAAAACACTCACGTCCTGCAAACTGAAACGAGCACCAGTTGAGTGCATCCTGTCCCGAGGTTGACCCTGGAATCCTTGGAAACACAAAATTTCTGAAAACGAAATCAGGACACTAAAACCGCAAGTCTATCGCTCATACAACCCCCAAGCATGTGAATGCCTGAACCGACTGTTGCTCTCCCTTCAGGGACAGTGCCGCATCCTCCCAGCCACCGTAGATGCCTGTTCAAGAGTGCATTAGAAGCCACAGAAGCTCAATTACCTGAACAGTGGGCGGAATTACATACGACCTCAAATCTCCGTTGTAGAGAAGCAATTTTCTTATTAGGATCCTATATAATTATTGAAAATTCACCAACACAACGAACTACAGTACAGTCATTCCACGGTGAGGCGTCGAGGCAAAACCCCAGGATACTGCGAGTCTCGGATTCAAGCTTTGGGCGTCATACAGCTGAAATGTAGAATGTAGGGCCGAGGATGGCGCTTCTGCTTTATTTAACTTCGAAGGTTTAGACGGTTTCAGGCTTACGCTGCCGGGAATTGCCTGCAAGCCGAATCTTTGGGGAGCACACGGTCTCATTTCGTATTTCGCAATATGTAGTGGCCCCGGAACCCCAAGCCCCGAAAGCCTAAACCCATAAAGCCCATGCCCCCTAAACCCACAGCTCCATTAATCCTGACCCCCCTCAACCGTAAACCGGCGAAGCCGTTTTTGAAGCCTAAGCAGAGGCGGCTCGTTGAAACCCAGGCCTAAGCCACCAGCAAAACCATGCAAAACCCCAACCCTCTCGGTTCCTCGAACAAGGGTACATACAAGGGTACATACTAGTCGGTTTAAAACAGGAGACCCCCAAAATGAAAGGGCATAAGAGTACTAGTTCGTGGGAGACCCAGGCCTATAGCCCCAACTACAACAGCCAACACCGTAACCCCAAGGGCCCACGTGGACCCAGGCACGTAGCCTTTCGCATTCCCCAGGCTTTCCGAATGGCGAAGGAAGAACACCTCGCTAGGTGGGGCTTTTAGAGCCTTTGAAAAATATTAGTAAATAAGATCCTCTTAAGCCCAATAAGGGAAAAATATAAAAATGTCCCAAAGCCCTACCTAGCTCGGAGTGGGTGCTCGGGGCCCGGAGCCTCTGTGAGACGTACCTCAAGAACCCACAGCCCTCCTTGTTCAGGGCATGCCTGGGCCCTGTCAACTCTACCATTTTGGGGTCCTGAGTATGATTTCCGACCAAACGCCCACAATGTATGCTTTTTTCGGGTTATGGTGCATAGATAGATCACTGAAGGGTTGGGGTCTCTACTCCAGCACTGCTGACTAGCTCGAACCTTAAGCCCCAAAGTAATCTTCCAAACGAATAACTTCTCACCGAAAGTCAAGTAATCAGAGGGTTTCGATCCCAACAGGTTTTTTGAGGGGGTGGGGGGCGTGTAGGGCAAAGGTCTCATCGTGTCTTGCTGCTTGCTGCTGTGCGGCCTAATATTTGCTGGACTGGGGCCACTGTTTAGACGGAATCCCAGCCGCTTCAAGGTATTCGTCAGGCCAAAAGTTATCTTGCTGTTCAATGGCAGATTGGACCAGATAGCGCTCCGGTTATTAGGTTTTGATTCAATCTGAAGTCTTGGTGCAGACTCCACCAGTACAGTGTCAGTACAGCTCAAGCTTTGAAGATCTTTTCCGGGCCCATCCGAGGTAATACGGGTCTGATACATGAAAGGGCCCAAAAGCCAAACTGTCCTGTTGAGACATTTACCCTCTGGTTTGGAATCCCAGCCATTCATAAAGTCGATTATAGTAGAAGCCCAAAAGTTGGAAACCCAATAGCCTCAATCCTGGAGAGTAATGTATAGGGAATCCCATCACTATTTGGCCTTAATCCGGTTTCCAACTTTTGGGGGTTCACTGTAACCAAACCTCAAGAAATAACTACGGCGGAGGCTACAGGTAAACTCCACCAGAAGAGACTCTTCGGATTTGAACCAGGTCCTGGCAAAATCTGAACCCTAGCACCTAAACACTATGTCAAATCGGTGGCACTTTATTCGTGGAGTCTAAACCCTAAACCCTGGTGGCACCTTGTTTGTGGTCTTCGTGTCCACCGGCACCTGCAAAGCACATTCGTGTAAAATTCCGGTATTCGCTCACACGCTGAAGCCTTGGAGCTCCTGCTCTTTGAGGGGCGAAGGGAACTTGGAAAATCCTGGAAAGATGGAGCGGCATCCTACGTTTTTTCTTTAATGTGCAGTGGGCCTTTATCCCACGGTTTAGGGTTTAGGGCTTGCAAAGCAGCAATCACGGACAAGACTTGCGATTCAGTCAGCTGGCATTCAGGCAATCTATCGCGAAAGACACGACAATACTCTTTGACCCGTGCCCAAAACGGCTCCATGCACCCACATAGTGAATACTTAGACTGAAACCTTGAATGAGGTTCCGGTGTAGGTACTTTATGGTCAATCTGTATATATTCATTAACCGACATAACCCTAAGCCTTAAATCCTACCCTAACCTCCCAAAACCCAGATTTTTGTAGGTTCGTACCATACACCCTAATATGGTATGTGTAGGGACCCTACAAAAGGCAGGTTGTGGTGGGTTCAGGTAGACCTTAAAATGTAGGGTCTTAGGCAGCTCCGGGCCGACATGCCTTGGGATTGAACGTGGGGGCATTCAGACTGTACTTCTGCACGAAGACCAGATCGTTTCCGACCGCGGGCACTTTGAACCTTAGGGTTTAGGGCCCGGGAGGCTTTGGGGTTTATATCTGTATCGTTGTATATAAACACATAAACCTATTGTGTGTATATATATATACATACATACATGAAGTGAGGCTTAAGGATTGGGTGTGGGCAGTCTGCATGTTTGCTGAGAGATTGGATGTCGCATCGTGACGGTGATGGCGCCGGCCGCCAATTGTCCTCGTGGAGAAGCATGTTCAACCACCCACCACAAGCATCACCTTCATATACCCTCGTTTTTTGTGTGTATCAGTGCGGGTCACTATCACGTTCAAATTGCCCTCCCCAAAGAAAATCTTGGGGCGCTGCAGCGAATGGCGAAGTAGGGACCGAACTCCAAGTGGAATAGTTGGAATCACTGCATTGCGGTCTCAGGTTGGCGATTCGAACAGGCCAGAAGCGACAAGAAGCATGCGAACATGCACGGTCTAAACTCCGAGATTTACCAACGTATACGAACATGTAAAAGCCATTGAATCATGCGAGCAACCAGTGGGGGGTTGGGGCCTAAGGATATTAGCATACGGAAACTCAGCAGAGTTGGATGACAGCTCATGAGCTCAAGTCGATGAAAGCATGCTTCAACTACGGCCTAGGCTTGAGATTTTGGTCCGTGAAGCCAGAAAGTTGGAACATCCTTGTCCTCATGCCATTAAGGTAAGGTATAGGGGCTCAAAGCACTAATCATCCTAAACCCATGTTCCAACTCTCTGGGGTTCACTATAGGTACCCAAGTCCGACTCCAGAAAACGAACCCTGCCCAAAGGGTCCAAGTATCCTTATGGTATATACTTAGACCCCAACATGCCCTATAAGTATAGTCCATAATGATACTTGGACCCTTTGGGCTGTTCAACCAGACCAACAACATCCTGAACGGCTCTCTTTGCGGGCTGAGAGCTCCATGACCAAAGGTGCACTCGCAGGCATCATCTTGATGTCCAAGGCATCTTCATCTGGTACGTTCCTTGAGGGTTTAGGGTCTCTCTATCTATCTATCTATCTATATATCTATCTATCTATCTATCTATCTGTATCTCTCTCTGTCTCTATCTATCTATCTATCTATATATATATATATATATGGGTCTAGGTCAGGGGCGTGCGGTTTCGTGTTTATTGTTCATCGCACATGTTACAAGCGCGAGGCTTCTGCACCGAAGCATCGTTGAGGCAAAGCTTCGTCTCACATGGCTACTTGCTCCCCCAATAGAACCCATTATGGTACCCTTATCGATCCCTTATAGTACCCTTCTAGTAATCCTTATAGGAACCCTTTTCTTACTCCCCCAATAAGCCACAGAAATCAAAGGATAAACTTTCCGATTCCCAATAGTCTATCAGAACCCAAAAAGTTTAAAGGTTGGGTATTGGGGATCTGGGGCTATCTGTATCTGGGGAGACGGGTATAGAGGCACGAATCAGTTGAGTAGGGTTGGCCGGTTCAAACCCACCATCTTGAAACCCTCCTAAACTATGCCGCCTGGCGTAGACACTCTCGGCATCCTACAGTACCTAACCGCAGCCGTCCTTAACACTCATCACAACCATGGCCATCACCGTCATCATCAGCTGCACCAGCACAGACATGAGCATCTGCACCAGCCATCAGCATCAACATAGGCATCATCTTCATCAGCACCATCACCATCACCAGCAGCATCATCATACAACAGCATCGTTTTCGTCATGATCATCGACATCAACATCATCATCAGCAGCAGCACCATCATCATCATCGTCATCGTCATAATCATCAAAACAGTCGTCTCATCCTCATCAGCTTCATCAACATCATCATCATCAGCAGCAGCAGTAGCATCACCATATCAGATCAACGCCATTACCATGAACATCATCACCACCATGATCGTCAGATTTCAAATCGTCATCAGCGTGAATTATCCTCGCCTTCATCTATTGCTTTATTATGATCACCATGGCATGAAGGGCTGGAATGTCACAAATGCCTCTCGCAATATCTGCACCGAGCTTCTCCAAGTACTTCCACAGCGCACGCAGTGAATTCTTGTGCGCAGCTACCTCGGCAACGGCTTCGCCAAAATTGATGTCCGGATTTGCATCTACACTTGTGGGATTCTAAGATTGCGGCTTCAGCAGATGGGGCCGGTAAGGCTGACAGTTTCAGGTTCAAACCACTACGAAACCCAAGCATGGCCGTTTGTGTCTCCATGACTCGTCTCATGCATTCCAGCAGAGCAACTGTTGGTGATATAAATCCTGCATTGCCCATAATAAGGAATATACCATGAAAACCCATGGCTTATGGTCCTTAAGGTTTTGCAGGCTATATATCATCAACCGAATCACAGCCACTCACGCTTTGCAACACCAGCCGAAGCTCAAAAGCCGAAATCCTGCAGCCTCAACCCCAATGCCGTTCCGTCGGAATCGGAGTTGAAGAAATTCTATAAGCCCCCCCCCCCCCCGAACATCCTGAATCCGCATTAGTGGCCGGGAAGGGTCGCCTCCCTGATCATCTGTAGTTGTCTGGGGGGCCGGGGTCTAAGTTGTTTGGGGGCCGGGGCTCTCAGTTGTAGTACAGTAGGAAGTAGTAGTACGGTAGTCGTACAGTAGTAGTACAGTAGTACTACAGTAGTATAGGAGTAGCACAGTAGTAGTACAGCCCGAAAACTCATTCAACCGGGACGGGAATTACGACTATTGAAGGGGGGCTGAATATTACGTTCAGCCCGAGTTCAGCTCTATTGACGGGCCTTTCCACTATGAGTTCCAGGCCGAGTTTAGCTTATTGAAGGGACTATTACTAATCACGAGCTCACATTATGAGCCCTAAACCCTATGCTCTTAACCCTTAACCCCATAGCCACTCACTAAACCCTATAACCCCGAAAAATTCAGAAACTCTGTTCCTGTGTGTGAATCTTCAGACGAGGTCGTCTTGCTGCGGGTGTTGGACTTCGAAAGCTTGGGGTTCAGGGTTCAGGGTATTTCTGGCAAAGTTCATATGGGAGTTTCCGATAACTTGGGGTACCTTATTTTGGGGCCCCTATAATAACGATCCTACAAATTAGGGTACTAGATTAGGGTCCCTTATTTTCGGAAACTCCCATATCAAGAGGATGCCAGGAACAGTAGGTGGCGGGCGTGTAAGGCCCCTGGAACCCTAAACTGAAGCACTTCACTCTATTCCCCAACCCTAAACCGTTCAAAAGCCTGAAACCTTGATACTTAAAGCCTGAACGAACCTCAGATGCTAAACCCTGAACCCTAAACTCGAAAGCCTAAACCAACAATCCTCGACCCTACACTACTCAAAGGACCCCCAAGTAGCTCGTAAAGGAACACGCAAAGCCCCCCCGGACCCCTCTCCCCAGTGGCATCACAGAAAGCTGAGGACGATGCCAGCACAGACTCTCCCGCGCGGATTCGCGGCACGATCTTCTCCTTCCGAAATTCAGAGATTAGAATTGCAATCAGGGGTTGAGGGTTGAGGTGATTTAGGGCCTACATTCGGAGTCTTAGGATTTAATAGGGTTCATTCGTACTTTGAATTCTCTGTTCGTCTGTACGTTGTTGATACCCGACAGAGTTTTTGATCATGAGTTTAATTGTTCAATATCAGTGGCAACACTGAACTTTTCCATTACCGCCATTCGCAGCATTGTGCAAATTGTCGTCTATCGAAATATGTTCCTTTCTTCAGATATGCGCACTAGCCCGTTCGGTGCGCACCGGGGTCCTGTTCATTGCTTGTTTCAACCTGGCCAAACTTGCCGACCTTAAACGGTTTAGGGTTTAGGGTTAAACAGCTGTCTCAGGGTTGAGGGTTTTGAAAGCCGAGAAGCACACACAATTCCCAGCAAAACTATGTCTTATATCAACTGCGCACTAAGTATGTCTTCAAATAGCCCAGAAACGAAACCACCAAATAGCGATGATTATATAGATAGCATAGAATATGAGAGACAACCCTCCTGTCCTGCCAATGCGGCACCACCCGTCGCACTGTGCAGGCGAGTGACTCTCCACCAGGAGGCAACCTGAAAATGCTCTTATGCCAGCAAGAGTACAATGACTGTTCTGGATCAGTGCTTTTCGGCAGTAGGAACATCACACCCAGACTACTGCACTGTATAACCCTAGCGCCAGAAATTTAAACCCTCTGCCCCAAAATCTCAGCCAAATATAGCAACGATAAACGCTATGAACCCCAAGACCCAGAATCCAGACTCTATGACCCCTACCAAAGGGTACTAGACGCTTCAAAGCACAAAAGATAAGAGGGACTGCTCCGGCGGCACGTCGGCGTACTTCGAGTCGTTTGCGGGGTGCCGCGGATCCTGCGGTACAGTCTCGCAGTCGGGGTTGAGGAGTGCTTTTATGGTTGAAGTTTACTTGGAGGATCATGGGACTTAGTAAGTAAGGTTATAAGTACCCTAATTGGGGTCATAAGTAGTTATAAGTATAGTTACTAAGTCCCATGATCCTTTATGACAGTGTGAGTTTGAAGGTCTTTGGTTGAGAGCTGCGGGTTTTTCCTCCAAGCGGACCATTTCATGCAGGCTTCGTCCGACTTAGCTTTCTGCATTTTTCCGGCTATGGGGGGGGGTGTCGGGGACCCGTCCTGACATGACAGGTTCGAGGAATTTCGCAAGTTCTCCAGCATTCAAAACGAACCCAAAGGGTCCTGGGTACTGTTATCAAATCATACTAGTAATTCCTAATATAGAAACCCTACATTCTACTATACAGGTACATTGGACCCTTTGGGAAACTCAAGGATCGGCAAGACCCCCCAATCAGTGACCTGCCTCGGCTCAGTCCCTTTTTGGGGTACCCTGAATAATAGGTGCCGTATTATAATAGGGACCCAAAAAGGGACCCCATTTTTGACAACCACCCATATTGCTTTTGTATTTTGAGGGAGTGGCAATCGTCAATCCACATTCCGAGTTAGTTGCCGATACCCCCGCGCCGCCATGACTGTTAGACCGCAACCCTACCCATAGTCTCCCCTGTATCTCCTTTTCCGGCTAACCCCCAGCTTATAGATTATAGGGTCCTAACTATGGAGACTGATTAACCAAAAATATAACTACAATGGCGACTATAGGTAAACCTCCTAAACCCTGAACCCAAGCCAGGCATGACTGTGACGAATGGCAACAGAATCAGTCCTCACGCTCGACACAAGCTGGCAGGACGTCGTAGCTGCTTCTCCAGTGCCTCGGTAGGCTTCTCTCAACGAGCCTGCATCCTAAAGCCCTAAACCCTAAACCCCTAAAACCTAAACCCTAAACCCCTAAACCCTAAACCCCTAAACCCTAAACCCCTAAACTCTAAACCCTAAACCCTAAACTCTAAACCCTAAACCCTTTAAAAACCTGAGGCATGGGACTTCCCCGGTTTTTTTTTGAATTCGGAGGTCGCAGCCTAGTTCTGGGACAGCCCCAGCCAAGGTTCGTAGAGGCTTTAAGTGGGGGTTTCCGAAAATCGGGGACCCCATTATAGTACCCTAAATAGTAGGATCCTTATTATAAGGACCCTCAAATGAGGTACCCCGAATTTTCTGAACCTCCCAAGTGGCTTTGCGGTTCAGGCCCGTGACCTGGATGCCTCATTGCAGCCACGGCGCGTAACATTGGACTCGCCATACAGTGCAACTGCTTCGGCTTGTGTCAATCCTGTTGCATTTGGAAATTCAGATATCGTTCGTCTAACTCCTTCCTTGATACTGGCTTGCAGCATTTTCCGACTGGACTCACTGGCCACGTGATTTAGGTGTAGGGTTTAGCAACGCATGCTTCTTGCAGGTAGGTACTTATGTATGCGCGCATGCCATTCGATGTCGGTCTGTCTGGCTGGCCGTCTGTCTATTTCTCTGTGGGTGTATGTCCGTGCATTTGTGTATTCATTTGTCTATGTACTTGTATATGTACATGCGAATGCATAGATATACCACCTACGTAGAAGCAAACAGTCTAAATAGGCATATCGACTGCAGAACTGCACTGCAGACAAACAGGCAAACAAGAAAGATAAAGTTGATAGATCGGTTGGTACGTCTGTGTGTGTGTGTGTGTCGCCCGTTGCTTTGTGAGAGATCCTTACTGAGCACATCCCCAGATTTTCTTCTGTTGCACAAAGCACAGGATGTTTATATATATATATGTGTGTATATATGTTGGTAAGAACTCGACACGCCTACTTGGAGATGCATGCGTCACTACCACTGACGCCTAAACTGTTGTCCTCGCATATGAGTTGTACGGCGTCTCCACGTACTCAACGCAATGGGCAAAGAATGAGCGGTGTTGATCATTTTCGTTCTGGGAGGCGAACCCATACCAGTTTCCAGTCCTGTGAGTGCTTTGAATCGTAGAACCACATTCAAAGCTAGCCCAAAGCGAAGCTAAGGCCTAGAAACCTCGCGGCGAAGCAACCTCAATTTCATTCCCCAGTTCGCATGCCACCCTAAACCCTAAACCCGAACACCTTCCGTAACCCCCAAAACTGAAACCCGATCGCCAAGCACTAGCCTGCTTGTACCCTGGAACTGGGGGTTCATCAAACTACGGTTACTAATGATAGGCTCCATTATCGTGCCTCTGTTTAGTTAACCATATATACATATATGTGTACATATATATATATATGTGTACATATATATATATATATAGATATGTATATGTGTGTGTAGGTAGATATGAGGATCCAGTAAGATTGGAAAAGGGACCTATACGCGGGACACATGGAGACTATAGAGAGGGTTCCACATCAGGATCCCTTCTGTTCTGAAACTTGCAAAGGCCCCTGAGAACAGACAGAGTGCCTTGAAGTCCACCGGAGTGACGTGCATTCAGCCGCCAGGACTTGTCGAGGGGTGCGGAGGTGTTTCCAGACACCTGTGGCTTTCCATGTCCCAAAGGGTCCACGTACCTATCTAGTATATACATGGGCCTTAAAGTAGTCCCTATACCTATATCGTATATACATGGGCCAAGGTAGTCCCCATATAGGTACTTTAGGGCCAAAGTATCTGGTATATGGGCACAGGGACCCTTAGGGTGTTGCTTGGGATAAAGGTTCAGGGCTCACCCTTCACCGCAAGAAACTCCGGATAGTTGCAGGTTAGTCTAGAGTCTATAAGCCTGTAGGCGGAATACAATTTTCATTACACTGAATGTGTATATTGTAATACATACTAAATACACCCAAAACCCAGCTCCATTTATTGAGGCCCTTATATTGCCGAGTGGCACGGGTGGCCAGCTCTGCCGTCTTTATCGCCCGCCTGGGAGCTCTGCTTTCAAGCATTGAACTTAAGAACCTGACTATTAGACTCCAAACCCCAAACCCTCCACCTTAACCCTACATATTCAGATCAAGGTCTTGAGAAATGTGAAGCAACAATGTTCGGATTTCGGACATCTATAGTAAGAACAACTGCTCTGGGGCACATCATAAGGAGTAAGCACAGCCCTGGCGACCTTGTTAAGGAAACCTACGCAAATAGATCAGGCCCCTAGACTAAGCCTAAACCCTAAACCCTAAACCCTATAAGCTCTTTTTGGCTCCCGTTTAATCATCGGGCTTCTGGGCTCTTCGTCTCGCTGCTTACAGGGACGATGTGTTGGCTGTAGGGTTTAGGGTTCAAGCTTACCCCTACGGCCCCATAGTAGTTCCGTTTTGTGGTTCATATTTAGAACCCTATAGGGTAATCCCAAAAAGGAACTGCTATGAGGCTTTGGGGTATTTAGTGAAGCTTCACGGTTTAGGCGTTGCAGTGCCCCTGCGTCTACTTCGAATCAGAAGACTTCGGGCAGTCTGGGAAACCGGTGCTGTGAAAAGGTGCGGGTTTGAGGATCAAGGTCATTGCACACAGAACTAACATACTCCCTAACCCAAAACCCTAAAACTAAATCCTAAAGCCCTAAACCCTCAACCCTTAACCCTTAGACCCCTGAATCCGAAATCCAAAACCCCTAAAACCTCAACTCTTAACCCTAAACCCCCTAAACCCTCAACCCTAAACCCTAAACCCCTAAAACCTCAACTCTTAACCCTAAACCCCTAAACCCTCAACCCTAAGCCAGCTTCTTAGTCCAAGTCACTGGAGCGCAGAGGTAAAGACCGCGTCGAATTTCAGCCCTCTGGCTTTCAGGCAAAGACCCACCTCCTCGGCCTGCAGACCAACTTCGTAGTTTTTCTTTGTAGTGTAAATATAGGGGTTTAGGGTTTAGGGTTCAGGGTTTATAAGGGTTTAGAGTTTAGGGCAGACGGTTTAGACTTTAGGGCTAAGGGCTTGTGGTTCCTTTCATTAGTGTTTCTTGGCTTTCTGTAGTGTTGTTGGATTTGGACATTGGTGGAATTTATGTAGGCTTGGGGGTATACGGGTAGTGAGACTGGATGTGGGGGTGATGAAACTGGATGCGAGAGGGTCTACGGTAATAGTATGTATTTCGGGGGTTAGAGTTTCAGGTGCAGGATTGAGCTCTGTGTCCCTATAATGCTTAATTTGATGTGCGATTTGTTGTGCTTGGTTACTGCTCTGGTTGTGCGGCGGTTCATGGCCTTATGGGACACTTGCATGGTCGTGAAGGCAAGACTTTAGTGTCACGGGTTGATGTTAGAAACGAGGGTGTTAGACTGCGTCATCAGGCCTTGACAGTTTTAGTTTTGGTTGGTTAGGGATGGGGATTGAGGTTTTAGCTTTCTGAGCAATACTGCCTACAGTCTCCATTGCAGTTCCTTGTTTTGGTTGCCTCGGCCCGTCTTCCAGCTTTACCACGAAGATAGTTCACCAAGAAGAGGCAAGAGAGATTATCTTAGGGGCTGAGTACCCTAGCCCCGAAAATGTCAACTTGCTTTCAGTTATCGTAGCGGTGTATGTAAGCGTATGTATTATTCTTTTTACTGGTATTTATGACTATATTATGTATATTGTCATTTATGGTTGCACTGTACGCGCTGGGCTCCCCCCCGTCCCCCTCCCGCGGGACAGGGTCGGGGAGACAGGCCGTTCACAGTGGGTGAGGGGGATGATCACATGCAGAACCGTTCAGCCGCCTGAGTTTATTAGGGTTTCGGGCTTCCTAAGTACCCACTGCGAAGAACGACCAGGCTCGCCTTGAGGGTGCTTGAATGGTAGGTTTCAAGCTCACGGAAAGTGGTACACCACCGTGTGATTCGAGAAGAGCCTGTAGCAGGTATGTCAGCCGCGAGGCCTGAGCTCCGAAACCCTAAAACCGAAACCCACCTTACCCCTAAACCCTAACCCCTAATACCCAAAGCCTAACCCCTAAACCCCTAAACCCTCAACCTATACCCCCTGAACCCCTAAACCCTCAATCCCCCAAACTCCTAAAAACCCTGGACTGGGAAGGGCCTCTTGCTCTCCTCGGACACTGAGAGGCGTGTCGTCCCAGCCGGTATACACCTCATTCCCCTCTTTCGCGCGAGAGGCTCCATGATTTATATATATATATATATATATGTATATATATATATGTATATATATATACACACAGAAAACAACATAATACGGGCCCGTGTTTTGCACACAGATATAATGGAGGGGCCTTGATACTTAGAATAAGGTTTCGGGGTATCTAAGACTATAATTATTTGACAACGGAAATCTCACACGGAAGCCATGAATCCCTGGCTGAAGCGGAGCTGTTTTCCACCTGCTTCCGCTTCGGTGGCGTTATGTCTGCGCTTCGATCTTACAGATCGAAGTAGTCGATCTTACAGATCGGTGTAGATCTTCCGAACAGGAAGTATCTAAGTTCCTTCTGCTGGGAGGACCGACTGGTTCCCAGGCGGTTCTTGCAGACAGGAAGCAGAGGAAAATTGAAACGTAGTATAAAAGAGGGTCGGGACGGGTGGGTGAAACAAAATTTGCTCAAGATGTAACAGCTTTCGCCAAAATGGCCACGGAGTATGCAATCAATCGAATTGCATCGGTGAGTCAATCCCCTGACCGATTCGGTGTTTTGGTGAGATAATGAGTTGTCACTTCGCACAAACAAGTGTGTGCTACACATAATAAGGAGCCCCCAAAATAGTATAGGTAATTCTTATTCAGGCCCCTATAGTAGAGACAGCGCGAGCCCCCTTTCATTGCCTTCGCAAAGCATACGTGTGAGGTCTGCTGGGCTTTGAGGTGATGGGGCATCGGCAGGGGGACGGGGATGTGGGCCACTGTAGATCTCAGATCGAATTGCATGCAGCGTTTTCGGACATTTGCTGGCCAAGTCGCATTTTTCGCATTGCCTTGGCTTTCTCCGTGGCGAACGAAGACTACCTGCACCACAACATGTCCGAAACACATTTTATGAAACCCTAGACTCGCCAACTCGCCCTGAACACCAGAAAGAGCAAAGCTTGATGTGGCCTTTTGTCCAAGGAGCCCACGCATTTCTGAAAAACCCTCAGTGCACAACCATCATACTCGCAAAAGGGATTTCGAAACTAACCCATGCCCCACACTTTAGTCTGGCAAAAAGCGAGCTTCGGGGAACTGCGGGACTACAGAACTACGGTTGAAAAGGATCCAAGCGCCAATGTATGCAGTACTAACCTTTGGTTAGTAGGGACTGGAGGAATGGGGTACAATTATAACTACTATAACTACCATTCGTCCATTCCCTACTAACCAAAGCCCCAAGTTTATGGAGCGTGGTCTTGGAGTCCCTAACTTGATAAAGGCACAGACCTTGGCCACTCGCTCGCCGGGACTGCCGCTCGCATAGCCATTGGAGGCCGCCATCGTGGCAACAGCAAGGGGGCAGGGGCTGGTTCTCACTGCGCTCAGGACTCGCATTCGAGATAATTTCTTGGCCCCGAAGATTATCCCGCTGTAGTTCTTTGCCGAGTGACCACTGCTTAAACCACTTTTTTTGCAATGCGACCATGCCCGCGTTTATGGTTTACACATCCTTGGCTTTGTTGACCATGTGTTTGCTGCTCCAGGCCTTATGCCTCAGAAGCTCAGTGACCTCTCTGACCCTATACGGTTTGGGTTTTATGCCTCAGGCCGAAAAGATTGTTTGCGAGTGAATGAGCGTCAGGGCACCGGGCCAGTGAGGCTGGGATGTCGGTGCAGGACACTAGGACAAGCACTGTTCAGATATTCGTAATCAGATAGGAACACTAGACGTTTGTTATTGAATCTCCCGTCTCTGCTTCCTGCTGTTAAACTCTCAACTCCAACCCCTGCAGATCTCTCGGCACGCATCTGCTTTTCATTGTAGATCCTGAAGACCTCAAGACTGTTTCCCAGATTTTCGAAGGCCACCACATGGGGGGGGGTTGTTGGCTTCATGCTTCCAAAAGCTTTCGCGCCAGTCGGCAAAGTCTCAGCTGTAGCCACTGGCGCGCGATGCCAGAGATGCTTCAAGCACATGTACGTCAACATGCCGGCGTGGTCCGAAGAAACAGATGACGACGGTTGGGCGTTTTACGCGGCATGTTTCGGCATCGAAATTGCCGTTTGCTAGCTAATTTTACAGCAGATATTTACTACATTCGACTACTACACACTGCCTGTCAGTGGGATTGAACAACCGCTTCATTTTATGATGAGTACTCAGAACTCATGCCAAATCATGTGCCCTCAACCCGAAATTCAAGCATACTGGGGACCATCATAGCCGCAGCAGCGATGCTATCAGAACCCTTTACGCCTCATAAACAGCCGTCTCAATGAAGGAGGGCTTAGGTGGTGGTTCAGACTATGATTATAGGGACTTTCAGGGGACATTCATACCAGTCATCCACATCCACAGTATTCGGAACTCTCTGTTCTACTTGAAGGTTTTTGAGCTCACTCGGGTTTGAAGCTAAAGGTTTCCCAGCCCTAAAACCTCAACCGCAATCCCGACACCCGAAGGTCAGGCCCGTTAAGCCGTAAAGCCCAAAGCCCAAGCCCAATACTTCATGGTGTTGAACGCCGACAACTTGGAGGTTCATGGGTGGTTATAAGCAGGGTTATAAGCCCCCCAAATACGAGTTGTAAGTATAGTTACGCTACTTGTAACCCCACTTATAACTACCCATGCACCTTTAAGAATGGGCTGCGGGTATGTGGTCTGCAGATTGATTGGGCTGAGGCTTTACAGCTCTGGGGTTGCTAAAAATGTGCCTGGTTGTAGGGGTTAGGGGTTTAGGGTTGTAGGGGTTAGGGGTTTAGGGTTTAGGGGTTAGGGTTGCTTTGCGATGTGATCGTTTGGGGAGTTAGTTAACGGGTTGGAAGCTCGGAAATTAAACTACAAGTGCTTAGATTTTTTCTGATGCTCACCGAAGCCATCTTGACTTCACCACCGACTCCCAAAAGCACAGCCTCGAATAATGTAGGGGCCTTAACAATTAGAATAGGGTTCGGGGCCCATTATACTATATTTATAAGGAACCCCCAAAATGTATCGGTAAATATTTAAGCTCCTCTATTATTACATAAAAGAGAACTGAACAGTCCGCGTCTCCTCCTGCCCACCTCCTGGCGTCACCTGACTTCCGGAAAGTGTTGCGGCCAGTGGCGACGATCGCTTTGGGGTGTTCTTCATCTTGCTGTCTTGATGGTGAGTTTGTGTTGTTGGGTTCAAAACCAGCGGATGGGACCCTGAACCCTAAACCCCTATAAACCCTGAACCCCTAAATCCTAAACCCCTTAACCCTAAACCCTCTTCAGGACTTGAGGTCGGGCCTCTCACGGTGGAGCCCTGTTTATTTCAAAAACCTATAAGTACAGAATCAAAAGACTGCTGTGAGGTAGGTAGGATCCTGGAAAAAGGCTGGAGACAGACACAAGAAACCACCCCTACACTCTATATAAACCCTAAACTCTAATGAAACTCAAGACCCTAAACTCTTTTCTTTCAACCCTAAACCCAAAACCCCTCAATCCTGAACCCTCAACTCTGAACCCTAAACCGTAAACAACTCCGGGAGCTGTTTCTACATATAAACATTGATTCCGTCGTTATCGGGTTTAGGGGTTTAGGGTTGTGGACCCCCGTGACTTGTTTGGCGGCGGTGTTCTTGCCAGCCTTTGCACTCAAGCAAAATTATCAACTGCCAAGACAGGAGATTGATACATGAGTCTACGTACATGTACAAGATATCGTTATAAAATGTGTCGAAGGGTCCCAAATTCAGCTACACACACAACCCTAAGCCAAAGAACCCGAACCCTGAATTGGGCTTTGGTGGCTTCTACACTATACTGCATTATACTCTATTGAGGAACCCTATGAGGAACTGCGCTAGCAATCATGTCCCTTACTTACCCAAAAGCCTAAGGGTCCAAGTACCCAGATGTCATAAACTCAAAAATGTAGTAACCTGTGTAGCTACCATCCCAAACCCGAGTACCTAATTATTGGGTCCTTTGGACCCTTCGAGAAAGCCTTGAGTCCTTAAACCCTCGCAGACAGGCCGGAAGCCTCTTGCAGAAGGCGCATGAAAGCCTCTGGGTTCTCCTGTATCGCCTTCCAGAAGCAGGGTTTAGGGTTTAGGGGTTAAGCGGGTTTAGTCTAAGGCCCTAAGGACTCATATTTTACGGTTTTTTGGACCTAAAGACCATATTGGATCAGGCTTTTGGGCCATGCTGAGCCGTAGGTTTAGAGTTCAACTAGGATACTAAGTAAATTTCTGGACCAAGGTCCCGTGCCCACTTAGGCAAACAAAAACGTGAGACCATGGGCACGAGGGGCAGTCGACTATTCTCGGTTTCTGGCTTCCTCAAAAATGTGTTGAGTTTGTGTCCTAAGTACTGTGATGGAGTATGTGTATACCTTCCCAAACAATAATATAATTCCTACTATAGAAACCCTTCAGTCTACTATTAGAAGGTGCAGAGATCAGGCGTTCAGGATCGCAGTGATCATAGGCTCGAGGGGCCTTAGGAACTGAGGGTTTAGGGCTTATAGGGTTCAGGGTCTTGGCTCTGATTGGGGGTTAGGATTCGGAATTGAGGACTTGGGTCTAGTAAGGGGCAAAGATGTACGGCTTTAGGGATCTAGGACTTAGTTGCTGAGTTCATAAGCCCCAAAAGGCGATTTCAGGTTTATAGTGGGTGATATTATCCCAAAAAGGTGCAAGGTGTATCCACTCAGCGACTAGGAGTATAGTAGTCTCCTACGAGCCGGAGCTCCGAACAGTCCCGAACTATATGGATGGTTGTCGATTTTTAAGTCCCTATTATAGTACGGCACCTATTATTTAGGGTACCCAGAAAGGGAACCTAATTTTGACAACCACCCATATTTGAGAAAAGTTACCCACTGAAGGCTTTCGAGCCTCTCTCGGCTGCTGCTCGTCGCTTGAGGATGCAAGGAAAGCACGGTACATACAGGGTTCTGTTCAGGCCTGCGGCTTCAGGTTTAGGGCTAAATGCTCCGGCCCTTTTACCTCACATAGGAACCTGATTAAGAAACCATGGGTCTTTGTTGGGGTTGGAATGAGCCCTTCTAGTTTGGGGGGTTATAGGCCCAGGGTTAAAGTTTAATAGTCTATGGCCAGAGTACACACTGACCCTGAAGCCCCAATCCCACCAACCGGAAAATCAACGACCCTGAAGCCCACAGCCTGGTCAGAACACTCATCTCAAAGTCAAGAGCCTGCGCAATCTCGGGGTGCGATTGCTCTATGCCCTGCAGCACTTGCGCCTGAGTCGAGAGGTTTGTGGCTTCGGGTTTGGAATTTGTGCGCAAGGGCTCCACAGCATAGTCTAAGGCTTAGTCTAAGGGGATTCTACGCGCTGTTGTCAAGGAGGTTGGGTTCAGGAGGGGGGCAAGATTGATGATGGTTACTACACCCCCCCTTTGCAACCAGAATAATAAGACTAGATGTTCATTATTCTTTTGGGGTTGATATGAACACAAATCAACCTTAAGGAGACTATAGGTTGCGTGGCTTGCTCCTAGTCCGGAACCCTGCATCTTCAACCCCAGCATTCTGGCCTTGTTGGTGGAAACGCTTGTATGCAAAAACGCGATGGGCTAGCCGAACTACGATGATATGCCAAACATGCTCGTGTAAACAAAGACAACCAAGACCCAAGCCGTGGTAACGGCTGCTGCACTAAATCTGTCATCCTCTATACTATGTTATACTATACTACTCTATACTACAATAAGGGGTTGTCCGGGGCAGCAGCGAGCATCTGCGGATTTCCAGCGACCATGGCTGCCAGCTGGTTGAACCTTGGTCGGGTTGCTACTTGCAGGTTCATGGGTGTTATAAGTCCCCTAATATGAGTTATAAGTATACTTACCCTACCTATAACCCCACGTATAACTACCCCTGAACCTCCAAGTAACCATATATTATGCACCTCAGTAACCTACTAATTAAGTAACTGGAGCCCCAGGTGGGATTCTAGAACGTTGGTCGGCCGGATCGGGCTCTTCTTTGGAGGTAGCATCCGGGGGTTACGCTTCGTCTCTTCGGACTTGGGACTATTAGGGCTACATGCGAGTTTAGAACCGACTGCAGCTTTCGCCCACAGGAAATACTCATCTTGCTGCAGGTGCGTCGTTGCCTGCCACCCTGCCGGCTCTGGCTACTATGTACATAATGTCTGAATTTAATACATGTGTTGGTAAATGTGAGTGTTTATGTATTTATCTGTTGTTTTGTACACGCAAATATATGTGCAGACAGACATACCTACCTACATACAGACAGGCCCACAGAGCGACAGAAAGACATGCCGCTGTCATGACCTTGGGATTAACAAGCTGGCAGTAATATGGGCATACTTCATGA